CGTACCAAATGGTGTCTCAGTATCTCATTTAGGGGTTAAACCAAAGTCTCATGCCTCTGCTAGTCATCTTAATCCAGTCAAAAACCCTGATGGATTTCCCTGGTTCTTGAATTGCCATGTAAAACTGATAGTATCTCTGAATTAGAGAAGGCTTGGAATTGTAATATTGCTTAACTAAATCCATTCACTCTTGAAAGGTTTTAGTATCTGGTGTCTTTTAGAAAGTTAGGTTCCTAATAAGTGAAAAAGCTGCAGGTTCACAAGCTGTCAGGAGAATTGCTCGTTGCTTTTTATCTGCCCCAATGTCATTTGTTTGGGAAAAAATAATGCATTCGTTCCACATACTGGGTCCAGTCTTTGGCAGGATTGAACAAGTCAAGCTTCCTAAATAACAGCATAATGCCAGGAATGCTTGCCCCAACTCGGACAACTGTTGCGAGCAAATTTCTTCAGGAACGTGCTTTTTTTTTTCTTGTTGTCACTGAAACAACTCACCTAGATCCCAGTATCCCATCACCAAGTCACCCTGTATTTACTTGTGGAGAGTCTTTGACCCCCATCCAGCGCTCTCAGAGCTACCTCTGACATTCTTGTTTATATCTGTCAGCCAAGGTTCCATGAATGGACCAGATTAGCAGGCCCAATAGGGCACTCATGTTCTGAGGTCCACCTGGCTGACCTCATTATAATTACTACAGTCCCTCTGTTCCTCCATACAATTTGGTATTCTCCCATGTATTGTGTATTCCTTTGCCTCGTTGCATTTCCTGAAATGTATTACTTCACATTTATCCAGAATAAATTCCATTTCTTTGTTTCTGGCAAACTGACTAGATGACTTGCATCATTGCTGCATGTTGTGCCTAGAGTGACAGATGGACTTACTATGGGGCATCATTGAGGCTGAGAATGTTATGGATAGCATGTTTAGAAAGCCAGTCACACCACCAGTTAGGGCTACACAGACAAGAGTTGGGTGACCACTGAAAGGCGAGTAAACATGTGCAGGAGTTCTCCCATGGCCATTCCCCCCTCAAACAGGTGTACCGTGTTGGATACTGTTTGAAGGAATAGCCGCTCGGGAAAGCAGCAGCTAGACCAGTGGCACCATGACTGGCACTGTTCCACAGTATGGAGAGTGGAAGTGTAGGCAAGCAGTAGTGATTGGGGATTCTATAGTCAGGGGCACAGGCATTTCTGTGGCTACATGCAAGATTCCAAAATGGTCTATTGCCTCCCTAGTACCAAGGTTCAATGATCTCTCTGAGTGGGGCACAGGGTATTGTGAAAAGGGAGAGTGAGTGGTTGGGTCAATTTTGATAGTTATAAGCGGGAGAAAGAGAGATAAGGCCCTGCAAAGGGAGTTCAGGGAGTTAAGTCAGGAGAGAGCCAGAGCAGTAGGTGAGCAGGTAAAATGACTGAGCAGGAGTTGGAGACTAAGGCTACGAAGAAAAATGGACAGGGAGAGGTTACTCAACACAGCAGGACTGGTGGTGTGAGGTGCATTTGTTTTAACGTGAGGAGCATCATAGGTAAGGAAGATGAACTTGCAGCTTGGAGTAATTTATGTCATTTATGATGTCACTATTACAGAGATTTGGTTGAGAGAGGGGCAATACTAGCAGTTTAGCATTCTGGGATTTATATGTTTCAGGCATGATACAGGGAGTTGCATTATTGATTATGGAGAATGTCACATCTGTACTGAGAGATCATCCAGCAAGGGAATATGGGTAGAGGTCAGGAATAGGAAGGGTGCAATCACTTTGAAATTGTTCTACAGGCCACACAACAGCCAGTGGGTGATAGGTGAATAGATATGCCGACAGATAATGGAAAAATATGAAAACAGCATGTGGTGGGTGATTTTTAACTTCCCCGATAGTTACCTGCTTAGTGCCAGGGGTTTGGATCGGGGTGAAATTGTTAGGTGTGACCAGGACAGTTTTTTGAAACAATATGTAAATATCCTACTAGGGAAGGAGAGTCCTAGACCTGATATTGGGGAATGAGCCTGTCCAGATGATTGAAGTTTCAGTGGGGGTGCACTTTGGGAATGGTGACCATAATTCTCTAAGTTCTAAGTTACTTATGGGTAAGGACGCAAGTAGTCCTTGGGGGAAGGCTAACTACCACCATATTGGACGGGAACTGGGGAATGTAGATTGAGGGTGGCTGTTTGAGGGTAGACCCACATTTGTCATGTAGGAATCTTTCAAAGGCCAGTTGATTAGAGTTTAGGACCAGCACTCTGCTGTGAAAATGAAGGATAAGAATGGCAAGATTTGGGAACCTTGGATAACAAGAGAAATTGTCATTCAAAAATAAAACAGAGGGACACATAAGGAAACCGAAGAAAGACAGAGCCCTTAAAGTATACAAAGTTAGCAGGAAAGAACTTGAACAAGGATTCAAGAGGGCTAAAAGGGGCCAGGATTTGTCTTTGGCAAACAGAAATAAGGAAAATCCTAAGGATTTGCATATTTATGTACGTAGTTATGGAGCAAGAGTGTAGCTTCAGAAAGGGTAGGTGCACTTAAGGACAAAGGAGCAAACTTATGCGTGGAGCCAGAAGAAGGGGATGAAGTCATTAACAAATACTTTTCATCGGTATTCAGAAAGGAGAAGGACCTGGTGATTGGTGAGTCTCAGCAGGGGTAAATTGATATAAAATAGAGGTGGTATTGGGTGTTTTGAAAAGCATGAGGTTGGACAGGTCCCCAGGACCTGATGAGATTTATCCCAGAATGCTGAGGGAGACAGGTGAGGAAACTATTAGAGTCTTGTGCAAAATCTGTGTCCTTTTTAGATGTCCCAGAGGACTGGTGAATAGCCAACATTGTTCCTTTTGTAAGCAAAGGTTAATAGGGATAATCTGGGAAGTTAGGCTTGTGAGCCTTACATCAGCGGTAGGGAAATTATGGAGAAAATTCTTAGGGATTGAATTTACTCACATTTGGAAAAATATGGACTTATTAGCAATAGGCAGCATGGTTCTGTGCAGGCAAGGTTGAGCCTCACAAACTTAATTGAATTTTTTCAGCGAGTGACAAAGATGATTGTTGAGGCCAGGGCAGTGGATGTTGACTATATGAACTTTAGCAAAGCCTTTGACAAGGTCCCTCTGATATGAAAAGGTGAATTCACATGGGATTTGTAGTGAGCTGATAAGATGAATACAAAAGTGGCTTTGCCATAGAAGACTGTAGCAGTGGAAGAATGAGAGATAACAAGGTGTAGAGCTGGATGAACATAGCAGGCCGAGCAGCAGGAAGGCTGAGGTTTTGGGCCTAGACCCTTCTTCAGAAAAGGTGGAAGAATGTTTGTTTTTCAGACTGGAGATCTGTGACCAGTTGTGTTCTGCAGGGTTCAGTGCTGGGACTCTTGTTTGTACTATGTATAAATGATTTGGAAGGGAATGTATGTGGCTTCTGTGTAGAACTTTCATTAGGCCACATTTGAAATATCATTATAAAGTTCTGATTGTTCTGGTAATGTGGCAAAGTAGAGGCTTTGGAGACGCTACAGAAACAGTTTACCAGGATATTGCCTGGTTTTGGGGATATTAGCCATGAGGAGAGTTTGGACAACCTTGGTTTGTTTCTTCTTGAATGTCAAAGGATGAGGGAGAAACTGATACAAGTTTATAAAATTCTGAACTGCATGGATAGAATGGACAGTTGGAGTTTTTTCTCCAGGTAGAAAGGTCAATTATTAGAGTATGTAGGTTTATGGTAAAAGGGATTAGGTTTAAAAAAAGGTGAGGCAGGTTTTTTGCACAAAAGGTAAGTATCTGGAATGTGATGCCAGAGGAGCCACAGGAGTTGGTGAAAGCAGATAAAATAGCAATGTTCAAGAGGCATCTTGACAGATACATGAACAGGCAGGGAATAGCAGGACCACTTAAAGGCAGAAGGTTTTTAGTTTAGAAAGGCATCATGTGTCGGTGCAGTCTTAGTGGACTGAAGGGCCTGTTCCTGTGCTGTACTGTTCTGTTTTTCCATCAATGTACTTGGACTGGGTGCGTTCAAGGATTTTGAAGGAAATGAGAGAAGCAATTGCATGGTCATCAGCCATAATCTTTCAGTCTTCTCTGGACTTGGGGAAGCTGCCAGAAGACCAGGGAATTGCCGACGTTACAGCCTTGTTCAAGAAAGGTTCTAAGGATAATCCCAACAATTACAGATCAGTCATTTTATCTTCAACGGTTGGGAAACATCTAGAAACAGTTGTATAGGATGAAACCAGTAGTCATTTGGAACAAAGTGAATTGATTAGGAAGAGGATTTCCAAAGGGAAAATTGTATTTAACTAACTTGCTAGAGTTTGAGGTGGTAACAAAGGGTCAATGACGGCAATGCTGTTGATGTGGTATTTCCAGAGGTGTTTGAGAGAGTGACACGATTTGTGAGGAAAGTTATAGATCATGAAATGAAAGGGACAGTAGCAACAAAAAATTCTCTGAAAAATAGAGAACAGAGTATTGGTCAATGGATATTTTTCAGGCTGAAGGAAGGTTTGCAGTGGAAATCCCCAGGTTTGGGACCCTTTGTTTTTCCTGAGATATATTAATGACCTGGATCTTGATGTGCAGGGGAAAATTTCAAAGTTCACAGATGACACAAAACATTAGTTGAATTGTAAACTCAATGTCCCTAACAGTAAACCTTTAGTACTTTTATTGTAGTCATTAGTCCTCATGGTTAATTTAAGAGATTGAATAGGTTGAACTTGGAAAAAACAAAGAGCAGGATGTTCTCCAGATTTCTGGGCTAGCTTGCTTCCTCACATGACCAAAAGCAAATTAACAGGCCACAAATTGTTCTTATTTTTATATGGGATTTGCTACATAGAGAAAATGGCTGCTACATTTACCTTCATTGCTAACATAATGAGCTTTAAAATATATTTGCAAGAGGAATTTCTAGTAACCTACAAATGTAAGTTTTTTTTTCAAAAGTCCAGGTGATGACCTAATGATTTAATGAACCTTTCTCTGCTTTTTAGGATATTCAAGAAAAAGCCAATTGCTAAACGTTCAGGGCTCACACCACGCAGTACACCCGTGCCCAGCATGAAACGCTCAATATCTAACAGCTCAGTCAATAGTCAGTGCAGCCTTGCCAGTCACATCAGCAGTGCATCTATGCTGAACACCTCACTGGCTCAACAGATAAATCATGATTCTTACTGGCAGGAGCCTGAGGCAGAGCCTGACGCCGAGCCTATTGGTACGTGTCCTACAAGGGAATGTTATTTTTTTTTTTTCAGAAACTGCTGCTCCAGGGAAGAGTAACTGATGAAGAGGCCATGATAATTTGCTCCTGTATATTACGTTGCAATTTTAATACCATGAGAAACTTTACAGCAGATCTAACATCAGGTTCGAAGCTCAGTTACAGTTCTTGACTATAAATAGACTCAACCATTTAATGATTCAGTGCAGCAGGAGGCCATTCAGCCCATTTAATTAATCGCAGTACCTTGTTCATTGTCCAGAATCCTGCAATTATTTTGCTAGCCTTAATCTTTTAGCTTTTAAATCTCCCCTTAACCTTCTCCATAGAGCCCCATTTAACTTTTTTCCCTTCTTTGGTTTCTAAATCTGATTTTGAAGTTCTTTAACGTAATGTCACTTGTAGTTAGTGACTACTGTAAGACCACATTTCTCCCATGATGGAGCCTGCTATGTATTATATATTTTTATAAATCATTCCAGGTGATATTTGGGGGAATATTGGTGGAGGAAAGTGTGGTATCCCTGAATTTTTAATGCCCAGGTTGTGAATGTGTTGAAAAACCTAGCTGTACAATTTTAGATTTTGGGGCCAATTTTAACCTGACCCACCAGGCAGAAAATGGGTGGACTGGGGACTGACTGAAAGATGGGAGAGATTATGATCTCTGCTGTAATGATTTCCCTCTTTCTGTTTAATAGAATAAGTTTTTTTGATCAGTTACCTGTTAAAATATGTCCAACAGGTGGTGACCCACCTGGCGCCGAGGACAATTATGAGAGGCTGTCTGCAATGGTAAGGAGACCAAATGGCTACAAGAGCAGTATTCTGTCAGCTCCACCTTCCACTGATATCTACACATCATCCACTTCTGGATACTCCTCTGAAGATGAGCAGCTGGGTAATTGGATGTTGAGCAACTTTTCTTCTCTATTCCCCACACCCTGTCACCGTCCATATTCCAACCCCACATGTATATTCCATTGATGAACTTCAGTGTGGTCACAACATGGAGTCAGACCATAATGGTGGGCTTTGTAGATGAATTTGGTGTAGCAGGCAGGGTGAAATTTGTTGAGCTGGGGCAGGGTTATGAACGGACTCCATGTGGTTTAAAGGAGCTCCGAGTGGGCTCAATGTGGATTCATGAGGATTTGGGGGTTTCTATTGGTCTCTGAACAGAATTAATATGAACACGTAGGATGGTGAGCATTGTGCATTTATAGACAAAGGAAAAATGCCTTTTTATTTGCTCATGGGATGTTGGCTAGCTAAGCCAGAATTTACTACATCCCCTTGTTACACATGAAAAGGCAGTGGTGAGCTGCCTTTTTGAAACATGGCAGTACACGTAATGGATGAATATTCACAGTGCTGTAACGAAGGGAGTTCTGAGACTTTGAACCAGTGACAGTGAAGGAACAATGATATCCCAGTCAGAATGGTGGATGGCTTAAAGGGCAACTTGCAGGTCGAGGTGCTCCTCAGCATCTGGTGCCTGTATCCTTCTAAGTTGTTGAGGTCGTGGGTTTGCAAGGGGGTTTCAGAGGAGTCTTGGTGAGTTACTGCAGTGCATCTTGTAGATATTACAGACTGCTACTGTTTTGAATGGATGGTGGAAGGAGTGAATGTTGAAGGTGGGGGATGAGGTTCCAACACTTTGTGCTGGATGTGTCAAGCATCTTCAAACGTTTGTTGGAGCTCCACTGATCCAGGCAAGTGAGACTATGACCCATAGCTGTAGAATATCTAGCCACGGACAGTTTCTTAGTATCTACTCCACCAATTTTATACGTTTTAAGGTACTTTACATTCTTCTAAGCTTCAGAAGATATAGCTCCATTCTTTTCATTCTCATCTCGGGAAGCTCTGTTGCATGTGTAGTTTTCCTTGGGTATAGAGACCATTACTGGGCATAAAATAAAACTAAGAATTATGGATACTGGAACTCTGAAACCAAAGCAGAAATTGCTGGAGAATCTCGCAGAAGTGGCAGCATCTGTGGAGCTCTGACAAAGAATCACTGGATTTGAAGCATTAACTCTCTCTTTCTACAGATGCTATCAGACCTGCTGAATTTCTTAAGCAATTTCTGTTTTTGCTTGAGAGTTGCTAGGTGCTTGATGGCCAGCTAAGACACATTCGGCTGAAGGATTCCCTGTGCTGTATGCCGTTATGACCTGAGTGGTGTAGCAGGCTAGAAAGCCAAATGGCCTACTCTCTTCCCATTTCTGAAGAAGGGTCTAGGCCCGAAACATCAGCTTTCCTGCTCCTCTGATGCTGCTTGGCCTGCTTTGTTCCCATCTCGACACCTTATTATCTCCTCTCTTCCCTAATTTGTTACATTCATAATGAGTCGCGTGAGGAAAAAGGTTTAGGAAACTTTTTGATGCAGCGAATATTGAAGCAGGAAATTGTTTACCATGAGGAGTAATTAGATCAGGTACTATGGCATCCTTTGAAGCAAAAGAAAATAAAGTCCTGTGGGATTAGTTTTAGCATACTTTAGCAAAGAGTGACACAAATACTGGGGTAATGGCCTCCTTCTGTAAACTTCTGATTTCATGAGAAGTTTGTATTAATAAGGTGTTCTTTTACTTCTCATTTTCTAGGCTCTGTATATTCAGCACCAGCTTCTCCCATTGCTAAGCTATGGAACGGGATCTTTGCACTCTCTCCAGGTGCTGGCAACATTTCTTCCTACCATCTTAACATATTTTTCCATCAAGTATCCTCAATTTCAACCCAACAAAATGGATCTCATTCTGGTGGAACACCTTGCTCTTTCCTTGAATTCAAATGCAATGATTAACTGGGAAATAACTCCACAGAGGCTTTGTCACCAAGTCACCCTTTATTTACACGCGAACAGTCCTTGACTTTAGTGCTGCCTCAGAGGCCAACAGCAGAGTGCCAGTTTCTCTGATACTCACCCTTTTAAATGCCTGCCAGGGCTCACTTAATTGAATCAGTTTAACAGCCCCAATCAAGGAGCTCGTATTCTGAGGTAGAGCTGGCTGACCTCATTACAATCACCACAAACAGGAACAATTTTTCATAATATTCTGTGCAGTACATCTGGTTATTAGTACTGCATTGGACTGATTATGATAACACTTACTGTCAGTGAAATGGTCTAATCCCTGTTATGCTGCAGGAATAGGCAATAAATGCTGGCCTGCTAGTGACCCCCACATCCCACAAAATGAATAAATAAATAAAAAAAGCCTCCCAATTTTGCAATGTTAAGATTTGTGTCTTCTTTTGGGTACCCATAAGTGCCATTTAGTGGGGTGTTTTGTGAGTGTATGGAGCAGAAATGACAGGTTTAATCCACAAGCTGTGCACTGTTACCTGATCCCAACTTGCATAACTGTATGGCTAATGCCATTGGCTTGAGTGCTCCAGTCTAAAGCGATCTATTACTCCCTGCGTGTGGGATGTGCGAACAGGATCTGCAGTTCCTCCTGTGCCCATAGTGTGCTGTAATAACCAATTAGAGGGGAGGAAGAGAATAATAATTACCTGAAGAGAAAAGAACAGTACAGAACAGGAACAGGCCCTTTGGCCCATCAGGCCTGTGCTGACAAATCACACCTTTCTCAGCTTAAAAACCTTTTACCTCTGCACACTCCATGTCTCTCTATTCCCTGCCTGTTTATGTATCTGTTAAGATACCTCAAATGTTGCTATTGTATCTGCTTCTGCCACCAACTCTGGCAGCGTATTCGAGGTATTTACCTCCCTATGTGTAAAAGATATCCTGCCTCTCACATCTTTAAACTCAGCTCCCTTACCTTAAACCTATGTCCCCTAGTAATTGGCATTTCTACCCTGGGGGAAAAAAACTCCAACTATCCATTCTACTCGCGCCTCTCTTAATTTTGTAGACTTTTGTCAGTTAGCCAGAGATGGTCTACAGTATCAGCAATTTACAGTATACAGTTTCATTACATAACGGACTGGGCTCTTGTGGCACAGTGGTAGTGTCCCTACCTGTGGGCCAGGGAGATCTGTGTTTGGGTCCCACTGGCTCAGAAGATGTGTAATAACATCTGAACAGATTGATTAGAAAATATCTATATAACAAGCTGAGCACTGTTAACATCTATGAGTCATTATATTTTCTCCTAACTATTTGCTTTCTCTATTAGGGAAAGCTTTTTCCATGGTGTACTGGTGGCTTGGTACAGCCTGGTACCAGTTAACAACTGCAGCTTCCTTGCTTGATGTCTATACACTGTCTAGGTGAGTGCTGCTAGGAGCTGAGGTCTTTGCTGCACTGTCTGCGTTCAGTTATCAAAACAGGATTCAAGATTTCCCTACTAAGAATAGCCAACGTTCACTTTACATAATAGGGGAGACACCGTACCTACCCACTCAGGAATACCCAACATGCATTGTATGTAATGCAGGCACCAAAATATTCATTACAAAGCAACTCTCCACACACATACATGCATGTGCACGTATGTGTGCGCATACTACTTTTGTACTTCCAAGTTGTGAATTTTGTTGGTGACTGTTTAATTGCCCAAACTATTGCAGATTTCACAAGCTTTTTGTTATCCAGATGGTGATATGAGCACTGCTATACTTCAGTTTATGATGGTTTGGACAATCTACCGTCACAAGCCTTTGATAGTAGATATGCATTATTGTGATTATTGATGCATTGTTGGTTTGTTATTGGTTGGTCACTGTTGTATATGAATGTGGAGGGAGATTCTGTGTCTGCAAACTGATCATCAATCAGTTATTTCATGTTTATTTCATTCCCCTTTCAGGTGTGTCCCCAGTGTGAAGAAGTGGTTACTGTTGGGTCTGCTGGTTCTGCTTGGTTTATTGGGTAAGAACTTGCTCCATTTAAAGTCATCTACAGGTACTGACCAGAATATTGCCATCAATTATGTTGTATGTCAAAATCTCAATAGAACTAAATCAGTGAGATTTTATTTAAAAGTTGACATGATCGTGGCTTTTAGCATGAAGGGAGCTGCTAATGGGGTATACAGTAAGTGGGAATGCAAAATGGGCTATATAGAGGCAAGAAGGTGGAGCATTGTGTAATGTAGCAGAGAGGGGATAGGCAACTGAGTATTGGGATGAATGTAAAGAAATTAGGCCCTTTTTGTTGTAAAAGGGAAAGCTGCAGGGTGACCTGGTAGTGACCTTTTTAAGATTAGAAAATTATTTGAATGTAGAATATTTTAAGGATGAATGCAGAGAAGATGTTTTTGCTTGGAGCAATAAAACTGTCTTATTTCATGTTTGGGGTTTTTAAATATCTCAAAGTCATGCTGCTTGTGCTCGTGAAAGTTTCTTCAAGAAACTTTACTTATAACTTGATCTATCCACACATTCTCTCAGCAGCAGGTTAGTATTAACCCCATCATTCTACAAAATAAAGTTGCCTTAAATATAGGACAGATGCTAATGGATCCAATCTGGAATTTTGAAGGACCGGTTTTATTTCCAGTTGTTAATGTTTGGAACATGCTATCCCATGAAGGGTTGAGGTAATAGCATGGCTGGATTTTTTGGGAAAATGGATAAATGGGTGAAATAAGTAGAATGACATGTTGGTGAGGTCAGGTGTAGGTGAGTGAGAAAACATTTGTGGGGACAGTAACACTGATGTGATTCTGTTGAACTGAATGTGTTGTGTTCTGTGCAAATTTTCAAAAAATGATGAATTGGTGGAAACTGAAATACATAAATGTTAAAGGTTGATACGTTGGGCTGTGAATAGGTGAAGGTGGGCAGTGGTGCGTATAAGTGCACGGAACTGGGGACAACATAGAGGTGTTAAGGTATATAGAGGCTGGGACGGGGCAATGAGCTACGTATGTAAATGGTAAGGAAGGGGCACTTGGGTGCCTAGGCTAGAAGACAGCTACTAAGATGAAAAGAGGCTTATGGGGGGGACACTGGGGTAGGAAGGTGGGGACTGGGATATATAAAGGCTAGGAAGTGAAACACTGGTCTGTGTATATCGTTATAGGGGTGTGGTGTTGATGTACAGAAAGGGTAGAATTTGCAGCCCTGGGTGCATAGAGGAAAGGAGCTCAAATGGGTTACATTTTATTTATTCATTCATGGGATGAGGGCGTTGCTGGCCAGGCAGCACTTATTGCTCATTCCTAATTGCCCAAAGGGCAGTTAAGAGTCAACTGCATTGCTGTGGGTCTAGAGTCACATGTAGGCCAGACTAGGTATGGATGGCAGTTTTCTTCCCTAAAGGACATCATTAGGTTCTTATTCAATAAAATATTTAGAATTTCAAATTCAAATTCCACTATCTGCCATGGCGGGATTCGAACCTGGGTCCCCAGAACACTGAGTTTCTGGATTAACAGTCCAGCAATAATACCACTAGGCCATTGTCCCTCCCTTCTACATAGAAAATAAGCACTGAGTAACGTAAACGGAAGAAAGGGAACTGGGGTATATACATGCAGAATAGAAGGAGGGACACTGGAATGTAGAGGCTGGCATTTGGGGCACTAGGGTATACATGTGGAGGGTAGGGAATGGGGCATTGAGTTACATAGGTGGATTGTAGGGTTCAGGACAAAGTTGTGAGAAGTCAATTCAATGCATTCTGATGCTGAATATTCTAATCAGTAATGGTTAGCCATCTCATTTGCTTCAGTCACTAAGTAGGAATTTTCATTTTTTTGTTTTGGCAGGTGCTTGGCTTTTAATATTCAGAATGCCACGGCCTCGAGCTGAGATGACAGGAAAAATAGAAAGAGAAACTTCAAAATGGTCGGCTTGGCCAGAGAAGCTGGTGGCTCCTACATTGGATCTGTCTTTACAGGTGAGGGGGAGCAGCATGAACACTTCATCTGGTCGAAGTTTGTGCCCTTGGGATGTTTTTTGTCAAACTCTCCTTGTCTGTGTTCATCTATCTTTCCAATGCATGCCCATGTGTCTTCTATCTGATGTGGTCTAACAGTTACGGCTATAAATTCAAATGCTCCAATCCAGAGTATGTTTATCCCTAAAGTGGAAGGTAGACACATCCCAATGCAGCTGATTTGGAGTTTCCAACAGGTTGCAATCTAGGAGAGGTTTTGAACCAATGACTATCCAGCAAAGACCTGCACTTATTGAAACTCCTGCACTACCACAAGGAGATAAGCAACCTTACTGGCTCTCTGAAGATTGTTTCGGTCACACAGTGTCCCTCCTACAAACTCTATCCTATTCAAATCTGAAATAACTTCACAGGGGCAGGTATTCGTCACCAAGTCACTCATTATTTACATATGAACAGTCCTCAACTTTAGTACTGCCTCATTCAGAGTCAGCTACCACAATATCAGCATCTCTGACACTCCCCTTTTTTATTATGTCAGCTAGGCTCCCAGATTGGACCAGATGAACAGCCCCAACCAGGGAACTCCTATGTTGTCCAGCTGGCTGATCTCATTACAATTGCTACAGAAACCATCCTCGATCCTGACCACAAGAATAGAAGTAGTTGTATCCTAGTCCAAGTAAATTTCATGCAAGGCTATCATTATAGGCACCTCATGTGACACCTATACTTCTGTTTGCAAATGCAGTAGCAACATCCTCATTGGTCTAATAATCGAACTGAAAGTGGAGAAGGTGTTTGACTGGAGGAAGTGGGCAAATGGGTTTGGTAGCACTTTCAGAAGTTGCATTAAATTGCATTGAGTCTGGAATACAGAAGCAGATCAGCTGAACTGGTCACTTCTGGTGTTTGTTGCACCCTGGCCCCCTTCCATCTGTCTCCATCTAATTCAATCAACCTATCCTTTTTCTCCCTAATGGTGCTTCTGTAGCTTCACCTTAAATGCATCTACACTGTTACCTCAATGACTGTTAAGAAATTCCAGATTCTAATTGATGTCTAGTAAAGAATTATCTCCTGAGTTCCTTGTTGGATTTATTCATGGTAATTTTATATTTTTGGTGTTTCCACTTGTGTAGGAACATTTTCTTTTCTAAATCTGCCTCAAAGAATTTAATTACAAAAGCAAAATTCTGTCAATGCTGCAAATCATTATTTTAAAGAGGTCAAGCACCCATCACCTTTTTGCTAATGAGTTATAATCCTATACTCTAGCCTCCTGTTCATAGTACATCGGCAGCCTCGTCCCTTTGGTATTTGACTCCTTTTCCAGACCTTGCAACATAAAATCAGAGAAGTACCCTTCAATGCCCAAATTCTTGGTGCATGAGCAAAGGATCTTGGAAACACAGTTTGGTTATCCACAGTGTAAGAAGCTAGAGGAGCTGAACATCATAAGTGTGGTGATATCGTCCTCGATTATGTAACTAACCCCTCCGTCTCATTGCCAACAAGTCTAGCAGATAATGTTAGATAGCAGGCCATTCTCAAACTGATTCTTGGATCGGGATCCAGCTTCAAATGATTAGGAGAAATACTGACATTGATGTACAACAAAGTGCTCATTCCTGGTCAGTGTATACACTGGCTTGGGCAAATAGAATGACCTGCTTTAGGAAGATTGAGCAGAATAAAACTGAATGCACCCTTTCATCACCTCTACCAACTCCAGATGTTACTATTTAAGATACAGACTATTCCAGGACCTTAACACAGAGTCATAAATACAGAAGAGGCTGTTCAACCCAAGGTGTGTGCGCCAACCTATTTACACTAATCCCACTTTGCTGCACTAGGCTCACTGCACTTTTACTGTCAAACAAAGATTAAAATCAACATAGACTAAACATTACTTAATTGACAACTAATATGTCAAACTACAGGAAAAGTACTTCACCATTATCTAATGCAACCTTTATGCCCCTTTTGCATGTTACACCGTGCTGTAAGCTGATATGTGTACTTGTAGATAGAAATAAACATCTTGCAACTTTTCTAGAAGTCGCCCTTCTCCCTGCCCCACCACGGTGATTGTTTTGCTTGGAAGTATCACTGCACTCGGTCTCCTGAGTATTCATTTAGCCTCAAGGTTCACTCTGGCAGCTCCTTGTTTCTTAAATCTCCAAATTCCTACCTAGTTTCTTCTTTGTTCTGAACAGAAGGTTGAATCTCACAAGTATTCTCCTCTCTCAACAATAGCTTCACTGATGGTCTTTTTTTGTTTTACTCACCAGCATCTCTCTCTGTCCTGGTCTCTAGGTATGTCCAGAAGGACCAGCTCCAGCCCTTTTTGTGTAAAAGTGTCAAAACCAGTTGATTTTGAAGGTTTTGGTCTGGTCCTCGTTTGCCATGTCTCCAGGCAGAGTTTAGAATGACTTAATCATTCCCCATTTCAGGCCTTTCAATTTAATCATAAATTAAGAGACAGTTTAAATGTCAGTGTTATAATGGCCTGCATTTCTAATAACAGTGACCAATTGATCATGGCTGATCTGATATTAATTTTAACTTTACATTTTTACATACCCCCGATAATCTTTCATTCCTTTGGTACAGTACGTTCCAGATTCAAACCTTGCAGAGGAAATATTAATTTTAAAATATTTAAGCCATCTTCCGGCGAGGAACTTTCTTTTAATGTTTAGCTTGATTTGCAGTCTCGTGTGCAGAAAATGGAACAGCAGTTGGCACAACTGGCTTCAGACTTTCATACTCTGTTACAACAAGACAGTGAACCCAATCAGCGAGTACAGCCAGTAGCTGAAAGGGAAAATGTCCCAGTTGTACCTCCACTTACACGGGAGGAGGTGATCAAACTGCTTGAAGAGTTTGCCCATCAACAACAAGAGATGGCGCAAGATGAGCGGTCGAATGATTCAATCTTGAGGATTCAAGTGAGTTTTAATTCCCATCATCTTCAAAACGTCTTTTAATTGTAGAGCTCTGACTTCTGACGTTAAAACGTAGTGTTCAGTGGTTTAGCAGGTGCTTCTCACTACACTATATCTCTATTCCTCGCACCTTAAAAACATGATTGAAGTGTAAACCGAGTGAGCTGAGATATGTTGAGTCTACTGCTGATAATCACAGCAGTGTGGTTATTAAGTGGTATGAATATAGAAAATGAAACTGTATAGCACAGGGAAAGGCCCTTCAGTCCACCATGTCTGTGCTGACCATGATGCAATTCTAAACTAATCCCATCTGCCTGTACATGGTCCATATCCCTCTATTCTCTGCCTAGTCGTGCATCTGTCTAAATGCCTCTTAAACTTTGCTAAGGTTTCTGCTTCTACCACCTCCCCTGGCAGCGCATTGCAGGCAACCTACTACCTACTGTGTAAAAACAATAGTTTTCCTCACACGCCTGCTTTAAACTTTACCCCGTCACCTTAAACCTATGCCCCTAGTATTTGACTTTCCACCTTGGGAAAGAGACACCGACTATTCACCCTATCAATGCCTTTCATAACTTTATGTACTTCTAGCAGGTTACCCCTCAGCCTCTGACACTCTACTGAAAATAATCCAAGTTTGTCCAAACTCTTCTTTATAGTTTATACACTCCATCTGAGGCAATATCTTGGTAAACCTCTTTTGCACTCTCTCAAAGTCTCCACATCTTTCCGATAATGTGGCAACCAGAACTGCAGTCAGTACTCCAAATGTGCCCTTACCAAAGTCTTGTACTGTTTCAGCATGACTTGCCAACTTTACACTCAGTGCCCTGATCGTCAAAGGCAAGCATGCCTTCTTTACCACCTTATTTACTGCTGTTACCACCTTCAGGGGCAGCATGATGACTGTGATTAGCACCACTGCCTCACAGCGCCAGGGACCTGGGTTCGATTCCACCCTCGGGCAACTATCTGTGCGGAGTTTGCACATTCTGCCCATGTGTGCATGGGTTTCCTTTGGGTGCTCTGGTTTCCTTCCATAATCCAAAAATGTTTAGGTTAGTGGATTGGCCATGCTAAATTGCTCCATAGTGCCCAGGGAGGTGTAGATTAGGTGGATATGGTGGGAAGAGGTGTGGGTCTGGGTGGAGTGCTCTTTGGAGGAGTGGTGTGGAGTCATATCATAGAATCATACAATCCCTACAGTGTGGAAACAGGCCCTTCGGCCCAACAAGTCCACACCGAACGTCCGAGCATCCCATCCAGACCCATCCCCCTGTAACTCACCCAATCTACACATCCCTGAACACTACAGGCAATTTAGCATAGCCAGTCCACCTAGCCTGCACATCTTTGGATTGTGGGGAGAAACCAGCTGGGAGAATGCGCAAACTCCACACAGACAGTTGCCTGAGGGTGGAATTGAACCCGGGTCCCTGGTGCTTTACAATGCTAACCACTGTGCCGCCCCGAGTCGATGGGCTGAATGGTCTGCTTCCAAACTGTAGGGATTTTATGATTCAGGGAGCTATGGACTTGGACATCAAGACCCCTCAGTATACCAATGCTCTTAAGGGTACAGCCATTTCCAGGATATTTTCCTTTTTGCATTTGACCTCCCAAAATGCATCACCTCACACACTTGTCTGAATTAAAGTACATCTGCCAATTCTCCACCCAAGTTTCCATCTGATCAATATCCTGCTGTATCCTTTGATAATCTTCCTCAAAATCCACAACTCCACTAATTTTTGTGTCATCTGCAAGTTTACTAATCAAACCATTGACATTTTCATCCAAATAATTTTATATATTTTGCAAACAAGAGGTTCCAGCACTGCTGCTTGCAGGACACAGACCTCCAGTCAGAAAATCATCTGTTCATAACTACCCTCTGTCTTCTATGGCCAAGCCAGTTTTGTATCCAACTTGCCAAATCACCATGGATTCTATCTGTGATTTGATCTTCTGGACTAGCCTACCATGAGGGACCCTGTCAAATGCTTTAGTCAAGTTCATTCCATAACATTCACTGCCTTACTGTCATCAATCATGTGCATGTATGGTCATGCTCAAAACATGAGTACATTGAACCTTTAATATATTGTGCATGTTCCCTAGTTCACTCCATTCATAAATATTCTGGAAAAGATTTCATTTGTACAAGAAGAAAAATTTGAGGTAATGTTTTGTCTTTGTCTTCCCCTAGAGTGATATAGCCACTATCCGGCAACAACAGGATATGCGAATGGAGCAGCTGCTGCTAAAGGTTAATAGCCAAACTGAGGTGAGTTTTGTAAATGTGTGTAGAGGTCTGTCAGTGACTATGAAATTTATTGAATAGTTAGTTAGAAATAGTTAAGATGTGTTTTGAAGAAGCTTTTATGTTTACTATTGCTTGGAGGGTTTGAACTTTGAAAATTTGTGGAGGAATTATTGAGTTTGGTGGACATACCTGGAATGGTTTCTAAAAAAGGAGGTCATTGACTGTTCGCTACGGACATACTTTTTTTTTGGACAAAACTTCCTCAATCATTTGTCTAGTGATAGCTTGCTGTGGCTGGTTTCAAATGATTACTGGTTTAGAGAGGTTCTCACTGTATCATGTTTATTAGGAGGGAAGCCTGTTAGAACAAATTGAGTTGGAGGGAAGGCCACTAAGAACAAGCTGAGTTGGAGGGAAGCTTGCTTGGAACAAGCTGCCCAGCTGATCTGTGTCTCTGTCTTTCTCATTTTTGAAAAGAAACCCTCCACATCAATTCCAGGTAAAACCTATTTGTTCTTTTTAAAGAATAAATTTTAGAGACAATTATGCATGACTAGTGACTTGACTACGTACCAGAACATCCCAGAAACAGATTCTGAAACATCCTTTCTCCGAGGAATGGAAAATTGAAAACTAGAGGCCATAGGTTTAAAGTGAGAGGCAACTTCTTCATGCAGAGAGTGGTGCATATTATGGAATGGGCTGCCAGTGAAAATGGTTGAGGCAGGTACAATAGCAACATTTTAAAAATATTTGGGAAGGTACACGGATGGGAAGGGTTTAGAGGGATATGGACTAAATGCGGGCAATTGGAACTAGCTGAGTGGGCGCCATGGTCAGCATGGACCAGTTTGGGCTGAAGGGCCTGTTTCCATGCTGTATTACTGTATCCTATCCTTTATCCTTTTGTCTTCAGGAACAACTCATTAGCCAAAGTGTGTGTGTGTGTGTGTGTGTGTGGTCGTTTACACTTCATTGTTACTAACTCTGTTAAACAATGGCTGCATCTGTGCTGAACGAGCTTTGGTTTGATAGCTAAACCCATAACTGTTTATTAAGAAACTTGTTTTGTCTTGTTAAAAATATGATATTAATACAATATTTTATTCTATATTGTGACCCATGTGGAGTGGTGGGATGATGGTGCACTCCAGCCTGCCTTCATCAGTAGTAGGTAAGTTATTGCAGACGATACTGAGGGACAGGATCAACCAACATTTGGATAGTCAAGGTCTGATTAGGGATAGTCAGCGTGGATTTGTGCGTGGGAAGTCCTGTCTGATAAATCTTTGAGGTAACCGAGAGGATAGATGATGGTAGGGTAGTGGATGATGTCTATATGGAATTTGGTAAGGCCTTTGACAAGGTCCTACATGGCAGGCTAGCCGTGAAGGTTAGGTTGCATGGGATCCAGGGAGAGCTAGCTAATTGGGTTCAAAATTGGCTCGATGGTAGGAAGCAGAGGGGGATGGTTGAAGGTTATTTCTCGGACTGGAGGCCTGTGACTAGTGGTGTGCCACAGGGATCGGTGCTGGGACTTTTGTTATTTGTTATTTACATAAACAATCTGGATGTGAATGTACAAGGTACGATCAGTAAGTTTGTGGGTGATACAAAATTAGGAGGTATCGTTGATAGCGAGGAAAGTTCCAGATTAATGTCCAGGACTTTTCAGAAGGTAAGGAGTAATCTAGGAACAACACAGTTATAGTTTTACAGTGTTGGTTCCCTAAAAGGTGAGAATGGGAAGTTAATATTCATATTAAAGAAATCGTGGATGTAATTCTGGTGTAGGGTGTGATTTATTTCTATTTTATCTAATTTGCTTTTGAATTTTGAACTAGTAGCATATGGGGGTTTTCTGGGTGTCTGAAGGATTAGAATCAGTCATGCAGCATGGAAACAAACCCTTTGATCCAATCAGTCCATGCCGACCGCAATCCCAAACTAAACAGGACCCACTGCCTGCCCTTGGCCTGTATCCCTCCACACATTTCTTATTCATGTACTTATATAAATGTCTTTTAAACATTCTAATTGTACCTGTATCTATCACTTCTCCTAGAAGCTTATTCCACAAATGACCGACTGTATAAAAAAGGTTTTTAGTTTATAAAGGCATCATGTGTTGGCATAATCTTCATTGGTCAAATGGCCTGTTTCTGTGTTGCATTGCTTTGATTTTTTTTGAGTAGGGAGTTTAGTAACAGTTCTAGGCCATAAGTGTTTGGATGAAATCCTGAACAGGTTATTTAAAGCTAAGGAAGTTTTAGCTCAGGTATAGAAAGGCTCCAGGAAGAGGCTATCACATTCTCCATACTGGAAGTTGAAGTTACTGTTAAAGTAAACCTATGGAGGTGATAGAGAAGAGATTCTGTCCGGTGCAAGTACTGTGAAAGGAAGTTTTTCAGATGAAATATTTACTATATATTTTGAAACCTCTAAAGGCAAATTGTATATAAATAGTTTGGCTTACTGTGTTTTCTATTGCTTTCTTTTGCACAATAAACTCCTGTTTTCTTCTTGAAAACCAAAAGTGCAGTGTAGCTTGCTTATAATTCAGTGAGAGATCACCTTGTTAAAATGAATAGACACAATACCATTTATCAAACCAGATTTCTGTCAGGGTTTCATCTTGTTCGGTAATAACACGAGCTGGATTCAGAACTCAAGATAATTGGGAAGCGCAGCATGTTTTTGTGAAGGGGAAATTGTGTTTAACCAACTTATTGGAATTCTTGAAGTAACATTTGAATTTGAATCATTTATTGTCACGTATTCAATATTAAATACGGTGAAAAGTGTGTACTGTTGCCATGCATAGGTACCATTCACATTAACTTAAAACTGAACTTAAAAAACAAAAGATAGATTTGGGTGGTACGGTGGCTGTGGTTAACAATGCTGCCTCGCAGCGCCAGGGTCCTGGGTTCAATTCCACCCTTGGGCGACTGTCTGTATGGAGTGTGCACATTCTCCCCGTGTCTGTGTGGGTTTGCTCTGGGTTTCCCCCCTCAGTCCAAAGATGTGCAGGTTAGGGTGGATTGGCCATGCTAAATTGGCCATAGTGTTCAGGGATGTGTAGATTAGGTGGGTTATGAGGGATAGGTCTGGGTAGGATGCTCTGAGGGGCGGTGTGGACTTGTTGGGCCAAAGGGCCTGTTTCCAACTTGAACCCACAATGCCTGGCTTAGGAGGCCAGTGCCTTATCCATTAGGCCACTGGGGCCAGGTGCATGATTTGGTACAGAGTTGTTTTCAACAGAGTTCAGAAGCACAAGACATGATTTGATCAAAGTTTTTGAGGGCTGGAATACACGAGCAAGGAAGTACTGCTGAGGATGTATAAGGCTCTGGTTAGATTGCATTTAGAACGTTGTGAACAGTTTTGGGCCACCTATCTAAGGAAGGATGTGCTGGCATTGGAGAGAGTCTAGAGGAGTTTACAAGAATGACCCAGATATGAAGGGCTTGGCATATGAGGAGCAGTTGAAAATTCTGGGTATGTACTCAGTGGAATTTAGAAGAATTGGGGAATCTCATTGAATCTTATAGAATACTGAGAGGCCTGGATAGAGTGGACATGGAGAAGGTGTTTCCACTAGTAGGAGAGACTAGGACCCAAGGACACAGCCTCAGTAAAGGGAAAACCCTTTAGAATAGAGATGAGGAGGAATTTCTTTAGCCAGAGTGTTGTGAATCTTTGGAACTCGTTGCCACAGAAGGCTATAGAGGCCAAGACAGGTTTTAAAGCAGAGAAAGCTAGGTGGTTCTTGATTAGTAAGGGGATCAAGGGTTACGCAGAGAAGGTTAAGAAACCTATATCAACAATGATCAAATAACGGAGGATACCCGAATGTAGGGCCAAATGGTCTAATTCTGCTCCTATATTTATGATCTTGACAAGTTGGATGTGGAAAAGTTGTTTCTTCCATAACTAGGGATACTTGTTTTAAAATTAGGGGCATCATTTTTGGTAACAGATGAGGGAATTTTTTTTAGTTCTCTAAAGGCTTATGGTTTTGGAGCTAAACGTGATTTTTTTTGTTTTTAAGGCAGAGGTAGATTATGTTTAGGTAAGGGAAACCTAGATTAGCAGGGGTTAATGGGAATGAGAGTGTAGGAGACTGAGGGGGGGAATCTTGTAGGAGTGTATAAAATCATGAGGCATGGATAGGGTGAATGCACGCAGTCTTTGCCTTAGGGTTGGGGAATCGGGGACTACAGGGCATCCGTTTAAGGTAAGAGGGGAAAGAATACATGGAACCTGAGGGGTAACTTTTTTTACAGAGAGGGTGGTATGCATAACGGAATGAGCTGCCAGCAGAAGTGGTTGAACCAGGTACATTAACAACATTTAAAAGACGTTTGGACAAATACATGGATAGGGAAAGGTTTAGAAGGATGTGGGCCAAGTGCGGAGAAATGGGGTTAGTGTGTATGGACATTTTGGTTGGCATGGACCAGTTTGAGCTGAAGTCTCCGTGCTGTAGGACTCTGACTGTATGACTCTAAATGACTGTGAAGCATTGGGCCGACAAAGCCAAATCCCAAGTATTCCAACCAGGGATTAGTGGTATTGAAGTCAGCATAGTTCCAGACAACCATAGAGCTGCTCTTTTTTTTTATTAGTGAGAGACAACTGGTGATGAGTTTAACCTGAGGGTCACCACACCTTGGGCAACTTTGAGAAGGTGGGATTTTCCTGGAGCTTTTAGCCAGTACAGGAATTGAACCCACACTCTTGGCTTCGTTCAATATGGCAAACTAGCCATTCAGCTAACTGATCCCTAGTGAGTGTTAGTTATACTGCCTTTACAGTGTCAACAATTTTATTCGGTGGTCAATACAGATAGTCAAGATGATTGGTAAAGTAAATCACCAATTGACACCTCAGATGGCTAGTAAAGAATCAGCTATGTCAATGTGTTGAAGCATTGCTGTCGGGAGCAGTAAACTTCGGTCAGTTAGATGTTGTGCTTTTGTATTTAGAGGCAAAAGAATGAAAGGACCTAACAAAGCTACTGATTAAATGTAAAGAAGCCTGTAGGGACACATCAGGGTGTATAAGTTTTATATAACTTATTTATCACTTCAGTCCAGAGAAACATATCCAGGTGAATACAGAAATGTGACTGTGGACAAAGGTGCAACACCTGCCCATTTACCTCCTCCCTCCTCACTATCCAAGGGCTCAAAACATACCTTCCAGGTGAAGCAACACTTCACCTGCACTTGACACAATCTAGTCTACTGCATTCGCTGCTCACAATGTGGCCTCCTCTACATCAGGGAAACAAAACGTAGGCTGGGTGACTGCTTCGTAGAACATCTATATTCTGCTCGCAAAAACGACCCTGAGCTAGCTGTTGCCTGGCCAACATCTGTCTCCGGTTTGTTGCAGTGTTCCAGTGAAGCTCAATGCAAGCTGAGAGAACAACACCTCATTTTCTGCTTGGGGTTTCTGCAGCCCTCTGGACTCCATATTGAGTTCAATAATTTTAGGGCCTAAACTCTCCCATGTCCTAGCCCCCTAATTCTTGTTATCTCACAGCCTGCCCTTACACACTGCCTATTGTTGGTCACTAACGGTCCCATTAACAACTATTCACCCTCCCCAGCCAGATTGTTTTCAACTCCTTTGTCTATCGAACTGCTGTTTTTCTCTCCAGACTCCATCCTATTGTTTACTCCCTACCCCATCCCTCTCCCTATATTTTCATATAAACCGACGTTTTCCAGGCTACCATCCATTCTGAGGAAGGGTCACAGGACCCGAAACGTTAACACTGATTATTTTTCTTCACAGATGCTGCCAGACCTGCTGAGCTTTTCCAGCAACTTCTGTTTTTGTTCCTGATTTACAGCATCCACAGTTCTTTCGGTTTTTCTACAAGTTAACACAAATTTGCATCTCTTAGAAAATATTTGTACGTGTAATGTGAAACATGATACATTAAACTATGCTTTGGGGCCATGAACTGGACCTCATTGTTCCCATGGTTTCTTGGTAACAATTTATGATGATAAGTATTGCTTTGTGCTGTTTTGAAACCTCAATCAACGTGAGAAAGAGAATAACAATTTATGAAGTATTTTGGTGTCCATACTACACTGGGTTTTAAATTAGCTTTAGAGTTTGGGTTTTGGTACATATTTCTAAATTCAAGACTGGCTTTGGGCTCAGACCATCTTTTGCCAGATTGAAAACTAATAAATTAATGGCAATGCTGCTGCATGTTTTATGTTGCTAACAATATGTTAAAACTTCCGTGATGGTGTTCAATTTCTTTATTAATGATTTGGTGAAAGTCTTCTAGTTTGTAATCCAGATTCATGGTATTATCTTGATGCTTCAAACCTCTGGGCAGCTTATTTGAAAATAAGATGACTGCCCTAAAAGCGCAAAAGTAGCAAAACCAGCGTCTGGGCAGTCATAACTGGAAATCAGTACAAACCTCAAATATAAACATAAAATTGAATACTATTTTCTGTGTTTACTCTTTCCAGGAGATGTTCAGAGAAATAAAGGAAGCAAAGTCTGCTTTTGTAAGGTACGAAAGATGGGGCTGATTGCACGGTTTCTCTGCCATGTATGAAATTGTCCAACAGGAATGTTTTCAATTGGATATAGCCACAGTAAATGATTATTGCTAATTTAGAATTATTTGTTCTGTTGGTTGTGTTGTTGAGAACTGCCTTGAAAATACCACCAACAGTGGAGCTGAATGAGCAAATTCTGCAACTGATGTTCCACTGTACAACTTGGTACTGTCAAACTAGTTGTTCGTACTTTCAGCAATTGTGCTGATATCTCTTTTGTTGTTGGAAGAAAGCCAACATCATAGTGCTGGTGGGTGCAGATGATTACATGCATTCTTAAGTGACTGGTACATGAAGCAGAGTATGGCTCCTTGCTGAACAAGTTATCCTTTGTCGCCTTCAGACTTGCAGAATTGAAGAAAAAGCTTGCTTGAATACTATGTTTCTTCACACGCATCCCCCCTCCTCCATCCCCACCCTTGATGGTATTGAACCTTGCAGTTTCACAGGCATCACCAATTCTGATTTAATACAGTCAGAGTCATACAGCATCGAAACCAACCCTTCAGCCCAGCTTGTCGTGCTCACCAGGTTTTCATAGAATCCCTACAGTGTGGAAACAGGTCCTTCAGCCCAACAAGTCCACACTGAAAACAAAGGCTGACCCGATCAGCAAGCACTCATTTTGCCGAAACCCAGGATTGAACCAGGGACTTTTAAATCTTTGGTTTAACGCTCTCCCAACTGAGCTCTTTCAGCTGGCAGTTTTCTAAACTGAACTAGTCCCATTTGCCCGCATTTGACCTATTTTCCACAAAACCTATCCTTTCCATGTACCTGTCTGGAGGTCTTTGTAATTGTACTTGCCTGTGCCATTTCCTCTGGCATTTATTTCCATATATGCACCACCCTCTGGGAAGGGCTGGACTGGCAACTCCATGTTTCAGGATGTAGGATCTTTAAATGAGACCTGAGGAGGATATAAAACGGGTGATGGTGCAGCACTATTAATTAAGGAGTCAATTATTGCAATAAGGAAAGATGATATTTTGAAGGGGTCCTCAATTGAGGTTTTGTGGGTAGAACTTAGGAATGTTAAGAGGGCAACCACTTTACTGAGAATGTATTATAGGCCTCAAAAGAGTCAGTGGGAAATAGACATTTCACACTGGTGTGTAACAGTAATGATCATGGAAGAGCAGTGATACCCAATGGATTTTAACTTTCCTATCATAAAAATTGCAATAGTCATAATGTTATGTGGTTAGAGGGGTGGATGTACTGAAATGTATCCAGGGGAGTTTTTATATTAATATACAGACTACCCAACAAGGGATGGTGCTTTGCTGGATCGGTTTCTGGGGGAAGAAGCCAGACAAGTATTCTACACAGTGGGAGAACATTTTAGTGATAGCGACCACAGCATAGTCAAGTTCAAATTTGTTCTGGGCAAGGAAAAAGAGGGCCTGCAAAAAATGGCTTTGGACTGGGGAAAGACAGATTTTATTAAAGTTGACTGGGAACAGACCCTTGTAGGTGAGTCTACAGCGGAGCAGTGGGGGTCATTCAGAAAGGAGCTGGGGAGAGTAAATGTTAGGGGGAAATATAGCAGCAATAAGTTGAGAATACCCCAGATGTCTAGGACAATTCAATTCTGAATGAGGAAGAACAAAGGCTTTCAGCAAATTCAAAGTGAGCAATTTGGCTGCGGCCCTGGAGAAATACAGTAAGTGCAGAAGGAAAGTGATTAACCATTCTTCGATGGATAGTGCAGGAGGGCATGCCAGGAGCAGCACCAGGTGTACCTGAAAATGAGGTGTAAGCCTGGTGAAGCTACAAAGCAGGATTATTGTGCCAAACGGCATACTCAGAGCTGAGTGATCCCACAACCAATGGATCAGACCTAAGCTCTGCAGCCTTGCCACATCTAGTCGAAAATGGTGGTGAACAATTAAACAACTCACTGGAGGAGGAGGCTCCCCAAATATCCCCATTCTCAAAGATGGAAGAGCCCAGCTAATCCAGCCCAGATAAGGCTAAAGCATTTGCAGCAATCTTCAGCCAGAAGTGCTGAGCAGATGATCCATCTCAGCCTCCTCCAGTGGTTCCCAGCATGACAAATACTAGTCTTCAGCAAGATTTGTGCTTCACAGTTTGTTGCTCCCCTAGCCAAGCTCTTCCAGTACAGTTACAACACTGGTATCTACCCGACAATGTGCAAAAATGCTCAGATATGTCCTGTATGTAAAAAAAAAAAAAAAAAAATGGGAAGGGACAAATCCTACCAGCCAATTACCACAGCATCAGTCGCCCCTCGATCATCAGTAAAGCAATGGAAGGTGTCAGTAACAGTGCTATCAAGCAGCACCTGCTCAGTGACGCCCAGTTTGGGTTCCACCAGGGCCACTCAGCTCCTGACCCCATTACAGCCTTGGCTCAAACATGGACAAAAGAGTTGAATTCCTGAGGTGAGGTGAGAGTGACAGCCCTTGATATCAGGCTGCATTCGACTGAGTGTGGCATCAAGGAGCCCTACTAACCTGGAATCAATGGGTATCAGAGAGCAACTCTCCACTGGTTGGAGTCATACCTAACGCATAGGAGGTTGACCATGGTAGTGAGACGTCAGTCATATCAACTCCAGGACATCTCTGCAGGAGTTCTTCAGGGTAGTGTCCTAGGCCCAACCATCTTCAGCTGCTTCATCAATGACCTTCTCTCCATCATAAGGTCAGAAGTGGGGATGTACACTGATGACTGTTCAACACCATTCGTGTCTCTTCAGATATTGAAACCGTCCATGTTAAAATGCAACAAGATCTGGACAATATCCAGGCTTGGGCTGACAAGTGGCAAGTAACGTTCATGCCACACAAATGTCAGGCAATGACCATCACAAATAAGAGACAACCTAACCATCACCATTGAATGTCAATAGTGTTACCATCACTGAATTCCCCACCATCAATATCCTGGGGGTTACCATTGACCAGAACCTCAATTGGACTCCCTGCATAAACATGGTGGCTATAACAGCAGGTCAGAGGTTAGAAATTCTGCGTCAAGTAACTCACCACCTGACTTCCCAAAGCCTGTCCACTACTTGGGGCAGCACGGTGGCTCAGTGGTTAGCACTGCTGCCACACAGCACCAGGGACCCAAGTTTGATTCCACCCTTGGGTGACTGTGCAAGTTCCACACAGGTATTCTCCCCGTATTTGTGTGGGTTTCCTCCAGGTGCTCCGCTTCCCTCCCACAGTCCAAAGATGTGGAGGCCAAGTAGAGTAGCCATAGGAGAAGTGCAAGGTTACAGGGATAGGGTAGAATGTTGAGTCTGGATGGGCTGCAGTTCGGAGGGTCGGTGTGGACTCGATGGGCCAAATTCCCTCTTTCCACATTGTAGGGATTCTGTGATCCACAAGGCACATGTCAGGAGTGTAATGGAATACTCCCCACTTGCCTGAATTGGTGCAGCTCCACAACACTCAAGGAGCTTGACACCATCCAGGACAAAGCAGCCTGCTTGATTGGCACCACATCCACAAGCATCCACTCCCTCCTCCACTGATGCTCAGTAATAGCACTATGTGCCATCTACAAAATGCACTGCAGAAATCACAAAATCCTCAGTCGGCACCTTCCAAACCCACGACTACCTCCATCTAGAAGCACAAGGGCAGCAAATACGTGGGAACAGCATCTTCAAGTTCCCCTCCAAGCTACTCGCTACTCTGAGTTGGAGATATATCACGGATCCTTCATTGTTGCTGGGAGGGAATTCCCTCCCTAATGGCATTGTGGGCCAACCCACAGCAGGTAGACACAGCAGTTCAAGAAGACAGCTCACCACCACCTTCTCAAGAGTAACTAGGCGAGACAATGATGCCCACATCACAAAATGCCTTTTTTAAAAAGGCAACCTGTGTGTGAAGTTGCAGGTTATTGGGTGGGGGTTAAATGAATACTTCTCTTTGGCCTTCACCCTGGGAAAGGAGAACATAGGTGTGGAATTCAGAAAAAGGGACTGTGAAGAACTTGCATGGTTCGACATAGGAAATGGGGAGGTATTGGAGGCTGTGTCGGGCTTAAAATCAGGCAAATCCCCTGGCCTGGATGAATTTCATTTGAGGCTGCTGTAGGAGATGACGCACCAAATTGCAGGGGCTCTGACACAAATTTTTGATTTCTCTCTGGCCATGTGGGACATGCCAGAGTCTTAAAGGATGCCTAATGTGATTCCACTCTTCAAGAAGGGTGGTAGAGATGAACCAGGAAATTATTGACCGGTGAGTCTCATGTCAGCTGTAAGGAAACAATTAGAGAAAATTCTGAAGGAGAGAATTAATATCCACTTGGAAAGGCATGGATTAAATAGGGTTAGTCAGCATAGCTTTGTCAGAGGGAGGTCATGCCTAACAAATTGTTACAGAACTACAGTCGATGTAGTTTACATATATTTTAGCAAAGCTTTTGATTGATAAAGTTAAAGTACATGGAATTGAGGGGAACTTGGTGAGATGGATCAGAAACTGGCTTAGTAGTGGGACACCAAAGGGTAGTGGTAGAAGGTTGTTTGAGTGATTGGAGGTTGGTGTCGAGCGGTGTGCCGCAAGGATCAGTGCTGGGACCCTTATTGTTTGTTTTATACATAATTGATAATGATGAATATGTGGGGAGATGTTAAGCAAGTTTTCATACAACAAGAAGATTGGTAGGGTCGTTAACCATAAAGAAGCTGCTTGTAGGTTACAGGAAGATATAGATGGGTTGGTCAAATGAGCAGACCAGTGGCAGATGGCATTTAGCCCTGATAAGTGTGAGGTGATGTGCTTTGGAAGAAGAAACAAGATGAGGGAGTATTTAATGAGTGGCAGGACACCGGGTAGCTTAGATGAACAAAGGATCTTGGAGTAATTATCGACAGTTCCCTGAAGTCAGCAGAACACGTGAATAGGATAGTTAAGAAGGCATATAAGACACTTGCTTTCATCAGTCGTGGCACAAAGTGCAAGAGCGAGGGGGAAATGTTGGAGTTGTACAGAGGGAATACAGAAGTGGTTCACCAGGATGTTGCCTGGGATGGAGAAATTGAGCTGTAAGGAGAGGCTAGATAGGCTTGGATTGCTTTCTCTGGAGCAGAAAAGGCTGAAGGGAGACATGAATGAGGAGTGTAAGATTGAGGGGTATAGACAGGGTGAATAATGCGTTGGTTGAGGGGTCAATCATGAGAGGGCATAGTTTTGGGGTAAGGGGCAGGATATTCAGAGGGGATTTAAGAAAAAAAAATTTTTTTCACTCGCTGGGTGGTGGGAATCTGGAATGCACTGCCTGAGAGAGTATTTGAGGCTGGAAACCTTACAACCTTTGGGGAAAAATATTTGGATGAGCTTTCAAACATTAATAATGTCACAATTTTCAAGGATATGGGGACAAGTGCAGGAAATTGGGATTAGCGCACTGTTAGCTATAGTTATTGTCAGTGCAGATTTGATGGGCAGAAAGGCCTGTTCTGCACTGTATAACTCTCTGAAAAGTTGCTGCTTAGGTCCCTCTTCAATCTTTCTACCCTCACCTTGAACATGTGCTCTCTATTTTTGGACTCCCCTACCCTAGGGAAAAGAACTTGACTGTTCTCCTTATCTATGCCCTCATGATTTTATAGACCTCTATAAGATCACCATTTAGCCTCCTATGCTCCAGGGGAAAAAAGTCCCAGCCTCCCCTTTATAACGCAAATCCTTCAGCCTCAGTAACATCCTTTTAAATCCTTTATAAACCCTTTCCAGTTTAATAACATCCTTTCAATAGCATGGCAACCAGAATTGTATGCAGTACTCCAAATGTGGCCTTACCAATGTCTTGTACAGTCATCCATGATGTCCCAACTCCTGTGCTCAATGCTTTGACCAATGAAGGCATGGGTGCCAAATGCCACCTTCACCACTGTGTCTATCAGCGATGACCTCTCTGTTCAACAATGTTCCCCAGGGCCCCATTATTAACTGTATAAATCCTGCCTTGGTTTGTCTTACCAAAATGCAACACCTTGCATTTACCTTAAATTAAACTCAATCTGCCATTCCTCGGTCCACTGGCCTAGTTGATGAAGATCATGTTGTTGTGGTCTTAGATAACCTTCTTCACAGTCCACCATACCACTATTTTTTGTCATCTGCAAACTTACTAACCATGCCTCCTATATGCTCATTCAAATTTTTTATATAAATGACAAACCGCAGTGGACCTAACACCCTGGTCACAGGCCTCCAGTCTGTAAAACAACCCTCTACTACCACCACCCTCTGCCTCCCACTGTCAAGCCAATTTTGTATCCAATTGACTAGCTCTCCCTAGATCCCATGCGATCTAATCCGGTCTACAATAAGGAACCTTGTTGATGGCCTTGCTGAAGTCCATGTAGACAACGTCTATTGCTCTGCCTTCATCAATCTTCTTGGTCAATCTCATTAAAACTCAAGTTAGTGAGACACGATTTCCTACTAACATAGCCGTGCTGACTATCCCTAATCAGTCCTTGCCTTTCCAAATGCATGTAAATCCTGTCCCTCTGAATCCCATCCAAGACCTTGCCCACCACTGATGTCAGGCTCACCGGTCTGTTGTTCCCTGGCTTTTCCTTGCAGCTTTTCTTAATGGCACAATATCATTCACCCTCCAGTCTTCTGGCACCTCACCCCATGGCTATTGATACAAATACCTCTGCTACAGGCCCTACAGTTTCTTTCCTAGCTTCCCACAACGTCATGGGATGCACTTGATCAGGTCCCAGGGATTTATCTACTTTTGTCCGTTTTAAGACCTCTAGCACCACCTTCTTCATAATGTGCATTCTCTCTTCAAGGCATCACTGTTTATTTCTCAGAGTTCCCTAGCTTCCATGCATTTCTCCATAGTAAAAACTGATGGAAAATAATCGTTTAAGATCTCTCCCATCTCCTGTGCTTTCACAGAGGCAGCCTTGTTGATTTTTAAGGGGCCCTATTCTTTCCCTAGTTACTCGTTTGTTGCTTAATATATTATAGAATCTCTTTGGACTCTCCTTGTCCTTTATCTGCCAAAGCTATCTCGTGTCCCCTTTTTTTGCCCTCCTGACTTTCCTCTTAAGTCTACTCCTACATCCCCTATACTCAAGGGATTCACTTGGTCCCAGCTGTCTATATCTGACACATGCCTTTTCTTTTTTCTTAACCAGCGACTCAATATCTCTAGTCATCCTGTGTTCTGTACTCCTACCAGTCTTGCTTTCACACTAACAGGAACATGCTGGTCCTGAACTCTTGTTATCTCGCTATACAAAGCTTCCCACTTGCCATTCATTTCCTGTTCACTTCCTGTGAACAGCCTCCCCCATCAGATTTTGAAAGTTATTGTCCAATACCATCAAAATTGGCCTTGCTCCAGTTTAGAACTTGCAGACCATGCCTTTTCTGTTACTAATCGAATTGTGGTCCTAAAGTGTACCCCCACTAACACTTCAGTTAGTTGCCCTGACTGATTTCCCAAGGGGAGGTTGGGATTTGTCCCTTCTTTAGTAGGGCTAATTACATATTAATTGAGGGAGTTTTCTTGAGCACACTTAACAAATTCCTCCCCATCCAAGCCTGTAACAATATAACAGTCCCAGATTATGTTTAGAAAGTTAAAATCCCCTACTATTACCACCATTCTTACAGCTATCTGCTCCCTACATATTTGCTCCTCAATTTCCCATTGACTATGACACCTGTAACACAATCACATCAAAGTGATCACCCCTTCTTATTTCTCAGTTCTACCCATGTAACTTCACTGGATGATCCCTCAGGAGTACTGTTGTGATGTTTTCCCTAACCAAAAACACCACTCCCCGATCTCTCTTGCCTCCTCTTCTATCCTTCCAATAGCATCCTATAACCCAGAACATTGAGCTGCGAATCCTGCCCCTCCTTCAGCCATGTTTCTGTAATGGCTATGCTATTTCAGTCCCATGTTTCTATCCATGCCCTGAATTCATCTGCCCTACCTGTCAGGCTTCTTGCTTTGAAATAAATGCAGTTTAATTAATCAGGCTTCCCTTGTTCTCTGCCTTGCTCTTGCCTGTCTTGTCTACTTAACTTGGTCTCTTTTAACCTTACACTGCTGCTTAGGGTCCCACCCTGCTGCCAGACTAGTTTAAACCCACCTGAGTAAATCTCTAGCAAATCTCCCTGCCAGAATTTTGATCACTCTCCAGTTCAGATGCAACCCATCCCTCTTGTACAGGCCTCTTTTGCCCCAGAAGAGATCCCAGTGATCCAAAAACGTGAATTCCGGCCCACTCCACCAGCTCCTCAGCCAAGCATTCACCTGCCCTATCCTCCTATTCCTCCTCTCACTCCTCTCACTAACACCAGGAATAAGCCAGAGATTACTACCTGCATTTTAACCTCCAGCCTAACTCCCTATATTCACTCTGCAGGACATAATCTCTTTTTCTACCTGTCATTGGTACCAATATGTAAAATGCCCTCCAGCTGCTCAGGCTCCACTTTGAGAAATTGCCTCAGCTGCTCTGAGATATCCTTGAATCTTATGCCAGGAAGGCAACACACCATCCTGGAATCTTGCTCACGGCTGTAGAAACACCTTTCTGGGCCCCTGACTTGAGAGTCCCCTATCACAACTGCATGCTTGGATTTTGCCACACCCTGTTTTATAGCAGAGCCAATCATGGTGCCGCAGACCTGACAACTGCTGTTTTCTCCTGAGAGGCTATTCCCCCAACAGTCTCCAAAATGGTATACTTGTTTGAGAGGGGGATAACCACAGGAGACTCCTTCACTACCTGCTTCTCCTGGCAGTCACCCATCTACCTGACTGTACTTGCATTGTGACCACATCCCTGAAGCTATTATCTATCACACACTCTGCCTCCTGCATGCTCCTTAGTGCTTCCAAGTGCTGCTCCAACTGACCCATGCAGTCTGAGAGGAGTTTCCGCCAGACACACTTTCTGCAGTCATAGTCTCTGGGGGCAAGTCAATTGATCCCTGACCTGCCACATCTGGCAGGAGGAGAATATCACTCCACTGACTGCCATCTCTACCCCTTTAAAACTAGCAGATTTAGGGTAGAAAGAAAGGTCTTGTCTTACCTTACTCTTACCTCGTTGCTGCTCACCATCCTGAACAAAGCCTAGTTTTCACCCAGGCTCACTCTCTAAGATCTAACCAGCAGCACCTTGACCACAATGCAGCCGCTTGCAAAAATGGCCAGAGCAACACACCACAATGCCTCCCTCCCCCACTTGCCTAAGTCCCAGACTTAGAGTGCAATTACCGAGAATTGAACTCTTGCCAGTCGCGCACTATCCAAGCCTAGTAGGTATCATTGGCTAAGTTTTCTCTTCTGTGCCTCAAGCACACTGAGGAAAATGGAAACCACTGTGACAATGGCCCTGATCGGGTCAGCAGTGGAATTCCATTGAGAACATCTGGACTCATGTCATAACAGCCGGTAATGATCCACTGAGCAGTGTAGCTTTTCTTTTGACCTGTTTCTGGAATCCAGTCAAAAAAACTGCAGTTTCTCTGCAGGCTTTTTAAACCGGTCTTGTTTCCTGATGATTTCTCACCTTTGTCCTCAGTAATGTGAATGATGAGCAGCAAACACTCCTGTCCGCACTGAACCAACTGGAAGAGCAGCTCAGCCAAACCCAGCTTGAGTTGATGGACATACGTACTGCACAAAGGAACATGGCATCAAACATGGAAGCATTGAGTAGCAAGCTTGAAAGTCTGAAGGACATTGTGAGTCACCCAGATAGCTACTGCTTTTATTAAACTGAAAGATGAAAAGTGTTTTAAGTGGCCCATTCCAAACTGGAAATAGAAACCTAGTCAAAATGGCTAAAGTATAGAATGTTTCTGTAGGGTAAAGAAATCCTTTAGTAAAAAGATTGAGCAGAGTTATGTCATGAATTGAATCTAAGAGAGCTTAACTGATTAAAACTGTTAAGACGTCAGTAACAAGACTTGTATTCACATAGCACCTTAATGTGATAAAATATCCCACAGTGCTGTTCAAGGCCTTTACAAAATAAAATTTGATACCACTCTACTGTATTACTGTAGATGAGCACAGTCTTCAACTACTAAGTACGTTTTAAGGGGCATCTTCATGGAGGCGAGAGAGGCGGGGAGGTTTGGGAACAGAATTCTGCAGCTTAGGACATTAGTATGTATAAGAGGCCAAAATTGGAGGACATTGCAGAGAGAGAGGAATGTGCATAGAGCGACTTAAACGCAAAAGTTGAATTTTAAATGAGCTGGTGTAAATGCAGGAGTGAGAGGTGAATAAGTGTGAGTTAATATATTGAACAGCTGAGTTTTCGATGACTGTTGGTTTATGGAGTATGGAAGACAGGAAGTTAGCCAGGACTGTTGGAAGAGTCAAGTCCAAAGGTAACACAAGCACGATGAGCCTTTCAGCAACAGATGAATTCCAATGAGCAAGATTAGACCATGGTCCCTGTTCTCAGAGTGAGGGATGGTGTCAGTGTCAGGAAACTAAGTTCTTATAATAGAGACTAAGGACAGTGGTTTTGATCTTCTCAATATTTAATTGCAAAGATTACTTTGCTTATCCAGTACAGGATATTACAATATGACAATTTAAAAGCAGTGGATGGGCAGAAAGCTAGAGTTGAGGTAATTCTGGGTATTGTCATTAAAGGTGAGGAAAAAGATGCTGACGGACACATGCAGATGAGAAATAGGTCCAGACCAGGGATCACAGTTTAAGGATACGGGACAAGCCATTTAAAAGTGAAATAAGGAGAAATTTCTTCACCCAGAGAGTGGTGAGCCTGTGGAATTCTCTGCTGCAGAAAGTAGTTGAGGGCAAAACATCAAATGTTTTCTAAAGGAGTTGCATATAATTCTTAGGGACTGGGTACTGAGTTGGATTATCAGCCACGACTATATTGAATGGTGGAGCAGGATTGAAAGACTGAATGGCCTACTCCTATTATCTATGCTTTTATGAAAGATGTAGAGATGGGGTGATGGGGAGATTTGGGATAATCAGTGGTTCCATCTTGGCCAACAACATCACTGTATAAAGCTGCAATTTCCATATTCCTGATCTCAACTGAATCTCCATGGAACTTGGCTTGGAATGATGGCCCACCTCTCCCATTCAACCCCTAATTCTTTTCTCAGTCAGTGTCAGGCCAGTTATGTTGCATTAAGAGACCATAAGAGTTAGAAGACGCGGTTAAAAACGCTGATGTATTTATTTGCATAGATTGCAGACTCTGTCTCTGTCTCTGTGGATTTTCTTAATATGCCAAGAAAAACATTGGACCCTTCAGTACTTGTTTTGTTTTGAATTTAGATGGAGTCAGATGTGGTCCAGTTGGTCCACAGGATGCTGTTTGGTTCATCACAGGACAACATACATGTATCTTCAGACCAAGCACTAATATCACAGTTTGTCCATCGTGAAGACCTGGAAGCCCTACTTCATGACTTAGAGAAAAAGATCCTTGCTGATCTTTCACAAAATCACAGTCAAACAACAGAGCTGAACTCAGTCAATGTCAGAGCCATGTTAGCCGGAGCAGCAATTACAAAGGTAAACTAGACAAGATAAATGTTTTATGAATCTTGGGCAAAGCACAAACAATAACGTAGAATGCTTGTCTGTCTTGCCTTGTCTTATGTGGTGCTGTGGGCAGATATATAGTAGAAAATATCTGGTGTAATATATCCAAGTAATAAATAAGGTGGTAACAATGCAGTATATTTTCAGCATTTTTTATTCTGATTCTTTTAATTCTGCCTTGCTCTACAGAGAAGTATTTGGCAGTCACTTCTCCTGTCTGTTTTTATTCGATTGAATACAGGCAGTGAAGCCAGAAGATCGTGGAGGAAGCACTGCCTGATAACACTCTCTCTAATTTTGGTTTGTACGTCTGAGTTATTAACTCCTCTCTGTCTCAAAGTGACACTGTATTTCCCTTTTTTGTATTTCCAGGAAGTTGAGAATATTGTGCAACGAGCCTTGAAACTATATAGTGCCGATCAGATAGGAATGGTGGACTATGCACTGGAGTCTGCTGGTAAATATCAGAAGTAAACTATTACTAATAATGGCAATTCAGAGCCTGCAAGATTACAGTGAGCTTCTGCATATAACAGGATTGAAAGTGGGTTGCTGTAGTATACCAGAATGTCGGAGTTTACTAATGGATCACATTTTAGAGGGAAACAAACAGTCGATTACAGCCCAGTTGGGGGAAAGGGCAAAAATATATCATGTATCAAACATGAATAATGTAAATCTCACTAAAGTAAACCAACTTCATACAGTTAAGGAATGATTTAGTTCTCCTTGGGCCGCGTGCTAGCATCAGATTTAAGGAACAGCTGCTGTGCCTTGAAATGCCGTTAACAGTGCAGGTTAATGGTTACCAATCTTGGAACTCACTGCCTTGTGCAAGTTACCAAAGCCCTAGAGAAGGAAGGAAGAGCTAGCCCTCTGCCTTATGGAAGAGAACTCTGCAGATAACGTTGAAGGAGGTACAAAAATGGTTTTCAAGCCAGATGACTGCATTCTTTGATATCGGTTATACATCCAGCATAAAATAATCGGGAAGGTGGCTGTAATGTTGCAAGTTGAAAGATCACTGGTACAGATGGGCTAAGTGCACTTTGCTCAAATGAAACAATTTGCAGACTAGTTTGTACACACTCAAATAATGGTGGTCCAATATCACCTTCCTCTGCTTGCAGGACTGGATAACACTTACCTAAGACAATCTGCAGTAGAGGGTGGCCTTGAACTAGCTCTTTACCTCGGTGCTTTAATGACCACCTGCATTTGCTGTTGCAGTCATGCAACCTATAAAGGAGACCCCACTCCTTTATCTTTTACGCTGCTTCAGTAATGAAGTAAAATTGGCCAGACTGGGGTTATTTTCCTTACAGCAGAAGAGATCGAGAGGGGACATGATCGAAATGTATAAAATTATTAGGGCATTGATACGGGAGACAGGAAGAAACCTTTCCCTTTGGAGGGATCAATGACAAGGGTACGTGGATTTGAGGGAAGATGGGATGTGAGTAGGTACTTTTTCACCCAGAGGGTCGTGGGAGTCTGGAACTCACTGCCTGTGAAGGTGGTAGAGTCAGAAACCCTCAACATTTTAGAAATATTTCATTGTATCATATCTCTACAGTGGGGAGGCAGGCCATTTTAGCCTGTCAAGTCCACACTGAAGAGCATCCCACCCAGACCCACCCCACCTATCCTACCCCTGTAACACTGCATATCCCACGGCTAATCTGTCTAACCTGCACACTCCTAGACACTACAGGGTAATTTAGCGTGGCCAGTTCACCTAACCTACACATACATCTTTGGACTGATTTAGATGTACACTTGCAATGTCAAGTCATACAAAACTATGGGCCAAATGCTAGAAAATAGGATTAGAATAGTCAGGTGGTAGTTTGACTGGCATGGACATGATGGGCTGATGAACAGCCTTTTGCTGTACTATAGATCTCTGACATTCCAGGAATGTTGCTCAATGCCTAATGGTGTTTTCACTAATCCGGTGCCTGGTGCAGGCTTTACTGTCCCATGTTCAAGGAGGCGAATTATTCATTTACATGTCAAAGTATTTCATGAATCTGAGTGTACTTGCTGCAGAGAGACATCCTTAACAGAATCAAATGCTGAGTAACTGAATGAGGTTTCTCCAAAAATCTCCCTTTTTCTGTCAGGAACAGAATCATTCCTTACTGCTTTAGATCATTGCGCTGGAATCACCACAACGTATTGCACTAGCATATTTGCTGCTCTCATTTTCCACACACTTTGGCCTTTGGTCTATCACAAATCAGCTCATTGTTGTAACATGTCCTGTATTGTTGGCAAGATAATTGTGATGCTTATTCTTCTTGTATTTAACTGGGTTTCACTACTTGCCACATCAGTGTGCAATGTCATTCACTCTAAGAGATTCAGAATTAAACGTGGAATAAGGAATGTACAGTTGAAACTATAACTGCAAGAGTGAATGCAGATGGTCATTAAAGCATCGAAGTTGGGTAAAGAGCTATTTCAAGGTCACCCTTTACTACAGATGGTCTTAGATTAGTGTTATCCAGGGCCTGTGTGCAGAGGAAGGTTGCTATTGGACCATGGTTGTTTGAGTGTGTACAAAGTAGCTCAGTAGCTTATTTCAGCTCAAATAGAAAAACCCAGGAAAGTGGGGGATGGTGTGTGAATCAAGTAGGCTGTTTCAATTCTTTTACTGAATCTGTTCAGAAGTGTTATTGTCCACCTCTGGAGCAGATGGGACATGAACCCAGGCCTCCTGGCTTAGAGGTAGGACCATAACTACAGTGCTACAGGAGCCCTAAAAGACAAAGTTACCATAGTTTGACTGGACCGTAGACTGCTCCGAAGGTGGTTTAACCCAAGGGTTACTATGCCTCAGGCAAGGGGAGAGGCTGAGAAGGAGTGTCCTTCATGGTAACATCAGCCTGCTTCCTGCACTGGCTGTTTTCGCTTTGTGTCAAACCTTAAGTGGTTGGTGCATTCTTGCAAGAAATCTTACTTGCCAAGTATCAGCCCAAACTTGAATTATGTACAGATCTTGCTGTATATGGACACCAACCATTTCTGGAGGTCGCTGAAGATCCAAGCCATCAAATTGCATCCACGAAATGAGCCAGAAAAAGCCAGTGTGGATATCTACTGAACCAAACCAAGCAGCTGACCGCCCATCTCATGATTCTGCTGGAGAAAGTTAAGAACTACAGGAAGGAGGTCTACATTCTGGATATTCTTTCCATATAATCACAACGGAAAAAGCACCTTGATAAATTTTGGAACATAGAATCATATAACACAAAAAGGGCCAGTTTACAACAAAAACAGAAATTGCTAGGAAAACTCTGCAGGTCTAGCAGCATCTGTGGAGAGAAAGCAGTGTTAACTTTTAAGGTGCAGTGACCCTTCTCAGAACTGAGTTTGCCAGCAATTTCAGTCTTTGTTTCTGATTTCCAGTTCTTTGGCCATTTATAACAGTTTGAAAGAGCTGTCAACGGATGATGCTGTCCTGCCTTTTCCCTTTAACACTGCACAGTTGCAGGACTAATGTACAGTGAGGTGCATTCTCTGTCAGATGAGATGAACAAATGCTTCTGCTTGCTGATTGTACTGGGAAAGAGGGAGCTGTACTGTTAGGACAGTCTTCACCTGAGGTATGCTGTGACCAAAGTAGTGTAAATTGAATAACTGGAGATGTGGAATTGGCTTTCAGCACAGTCGTCACCCCTCCATGGGGAGAGAATTCATGCAAGGAGAAATTTGGAAAGTTAGAGGTAAAATTGCACGGTAATGTTGGTAATGATAACCAGAGTAAAAAAGGAAGAGACAGAGCATTTAAGTGAAGACTTTTTTACCTGAATTCCTGCAGCATTCACGACAAGATGGATGATTGGTCATTCAAATAGAGATGAATGGATATGATAGAAAAACCATTAGAAACATAGTTGCAAAGCAGCCATGGCTGGACTGAAGAAGGGTCCAGACCTGAAACGTCAGCCTTCCTGCTCCTCTGATGCTGCTTGGTCTGCTGTGTTCATCCAGCTCCACACCTTGTTATCTCATGGCTGGACTGTGGTGTTGCTAGGAGTCTCAAAAAGTTAGTTTGCAGGTGCTGCAAGTGATTACGAAGAAAAGTGCAGCACACTGGTTAGCACTGCTGTCTCAGGGCCAGAGTCCTAGGTTCAATTCTAGCCTTAGGTGACTGTATGGAGTTTAAATGTTCTCCATGCCTGCATGGGTTTCCTCCAAATGCTCCGGTTTTCTTGCACAGTCCAAAGATATGCCGGTTAGGTGAATTGGCCATGCTAAATTGCCCATAATGTCCAGGGATGTGCAGGCTAGGTGAACTAGCCATGGGAAATACAGAGATGGGGTGGGGGGGGGAGCGGAATCAAAAAGTAGTGAAGTTTTGCCACAGCTTAACATAGCTTTTGGTTAGATCGCATCTGGAGTACCGTGTACAGTTTCGGCCTCGTTACTGAAAGGATAAAATTGCATTAGAAGCAGCTCGAAGCAGTTCACGAGGCTAATTCCTGGGGTGAGGGGACTATCTCTTGAGCAATGGTTTAGGGGGTTAGGCTTATAGCCACTCCCATTCAGAAGAATGGGAGGTAATCTCATTGAAACACAAGACCCTGAGAGAATTGACAGGGTGGATGCTGGCAGGATGTTTCCTTTTGTGGAGGAAACTAGAACCAGGAAATACATTATATAAGAGATCACTTGTTCAGAACTGAGGCTGTTGGCCTATGGCATACACAGCCTCCACTGTTCTTTGAGGAAGTGTTATTTAATTTCTTCAAGGCTAAGTTCGATTCATCATAGAATCCCTACAGTGTGGAGAAGGCCATTCAGCCCAACAAATCCACACTGCCAGTCCCATCCACCTACCCTTTCCCTGTAACCCTGCATTTCCCATGTCCAAGCCACCTAACTTTCATACCCCTGGACACTATATGGGCAATTTAGCATGGTCAATTCACCAAATCTGTACATCTTTAGACTGTGGGAGCACCCAAAGGAAACCATACAGACACAGGGAGAATGCGCAAACTCCACATGGACATTTGTGTGAAGGTGAAATCGAACCTGGGTCCCTGGTGCTGAGAGGCAGCAGTGCTAACTACTGAGCCACTGTCGCCCTTGATTGTTGATTGGCAAGGGAATGATATGTTAGGGATGGCAAACAGGAAAGTGGAATTTAGGCAACATTCAGATCAACCATGATCTTATTGAATGGCAGATTAGGCTCCAAGGGTCTAAATGGTCCACTCCTGCTCCTAGTTCCCATGTTCTTAAGATCTTGATTATGTACTTGGAATACATTCATTGGAACCAGATTTAGCAAGGGGAATTATATGACCCTATGTCAACTGAACACAATAAAACTTCTCTCAATCTCGTAACTTATTTTACACAATGACTGTAGAGTTAACTTTGTAATGAATAAACTGATTATTTATTAAGATTTCTGCCAAAGCTATGGGATGTGATTAGGTGAATTTTGCCAAAATACTACCCCTTAAGTATTATGACTGGATGTAAAGTGATAGTCACCAAGTCCAAAATATACAGAAATACCAAGTTAACACAGCATCTGTGGATGAGATGTGGCATGCCTCATTGCCATGAAAATTCATTGGAAATCAAACTCTGCTATTCAGACAAGTTTTAAGAAAAGGTTTATCCAAGTACACACAGCCTCCAATTTACCTGTTGGAAAGATCCAGGTGAAAAAAAGTGAACCAGGTTTCTGTACTTACCAAGAACAATTATTTATTACAAATAGATCTTCACCACAGAGTAAACAACTACAAACTGTTGACATATAACTTCAGTAGTTAAAATTCTAACCCATACATGCGAATACACTTGTATTATAGGTGAATGGAAAAATTAGGTTGGGGTATTAGATCAATAACCCTAGTCCTCAGGGTCCGCATAGATAATCCTTTTGCTTGTCAGGATTTTCTATCCTTCACCTTCTTGTCTCCAGGTTCTTTTCATTTCTTCTCGGGACGTGCAGTGATTGGCACACTAACTGCAAAATGTCTTAATTTCTGGTTAAAGGCCACCACTTACAGAACTGGTGAGGGAAAATAAACTGGCTGTTTTTAGGATTTGAGTATATTAGTGGACAGAAACACACATCATCTACTGTTGCAGCAATCTGCCAGTTACAATGTTCACGTCCACAAGCTGTTCAGCTAACCATCAGCCAACCTGGTTGTTGTCGGACTGATACCCTTTGGCTTCTGTAATGATTGGAACAAGGTCAGCCGGGTGAACCTCCTAGAATATGAGTTCCCTCTCTGGGGCTGTTAACCTGGTCCAATCAGGGAGCCCCTGGCTGACAGATATGAACAGGAATGTCAGGTGTTCTGCTCACTCTAGGAGCCAGGTCTGAGCTAGCTGGGTCAGTGTAATGTACCATGCACATGTAACTAAAGGGTGTCTTGGTATGGGATACCAGCCTTCGTGGAGTTATTTCAGCATCCACAGTTGATCACAGCTCCACAAACCAATCAGCAACCTGTGTACACCCACTGATGCTATCCGGATGCAACACTGGACAGTCGGAGCCTTTTTCCTCGGATGGTGATGGCTAGCATGAGGGGACATAGCTTTAAATTGGGGGTGATAGATATAGGACAGATGTCAGAGGTAGGTTCTTTATTCAGAGTAGTAAGGGCGTGGAATGCCCTGCCTGCAAAATTAGTAGACTCGCCAACTTTAAGGGCATTTAAATGGTCATTGGATAAACATATGGATGATAATGGAATAGTGTAGGTTAGATGGGCTTCAGATTGGTTTCACAGGTCGGCGCAACATCGAGGGCCGAAGGGCCTGTAGTGCACTGTAATGATCTATGTTTACAAACAGCCAACCTATTGTTTAAATAAAGGAAGAATGTAAACGTGACTTAGAATAAGTTTCTGTAAACTTTAAGTGTAGCAATCCTTTCCACAGTCCTTGGAAAAAGGACTGTTTTAAAATAATTTGAGCCCACAATCAAAAATATCAAAGTAAAAAGATACAGTCTTTAAAATGTTCAAACAAGCCTTCCCAAAGCTCAGAATACATTAGCGCAGGGGTGATCATGCCCCTAAAACGCATAGAAATGCCGAAGAAAATCACAGGGGCAACCAGTAGGAGAAGTCACCCCCAGTAAGTGACATAGAAAGAATCAGTGAAGAACTGCTCTTCTGATGATAGGCTGGCGCCCTATCACAATTACTGTGGAGAGACCACTGAAGACGATTGTGACCTGAAGAGCAAGGCAAAGGCCAGGCCCAGTTAGCATTGAGGCTGGGACCTGAGGGTGGGGGGAGGATCTAGGCTATGGCCTGAAGGAGGGGGCAGTGCATGCTGAGACATGAGGAGCAAGGCTACAAAGAGGAGATGACAGTTTTAAATATTTCAACAAAGGAATACTCAGCTAACAGAACAGGAAAACTGAGGTATTGAATTCTTCACAAATAAATGTGGAATTTCTACATTAAAGCTGTAGGAGTTTTAGGAAATACTATTGAGGGGGAATCTAACAATTGATACTGTAATGAACACTGAATGCATAATTTAATATCGAACAGTTTTAATAAAGATTTACATTTATCAATTACTGCATCTCAAAGTATCTCTCATGCTGTGAATCACTTGACGTGCACTGACTGAAATAAGTATACAATGGTTTGATTGTGACTACCTCTACTAAATAACAGTGCCTGCATTTTAAAAAAAAAAGGTAATTACTACTAAAGGCATGATAAGTTACTACATTTATATCCAGCTACCTTCTATAATTCCTGTATTCGAATTTTGCTATAGTGTCCAAATGTAAATGTTTTTTACGACTGTACCAGTGAACGTAATGCCCTTGCTTTTGTGTAATTTGTATTTTTGTTTGTTTCTTTAGGTGCCAGTGTAATCAGCACACGCTGCTCTGAGACATTTGAGACCAAGACAGCTCTACTTAGCTTGTTTGGAGTTCCACTATGGTACTATTCTCAGTCTCCAAGAGCTGTGATTCAGGTATATATTCTTCAAACTGATCCCTTATCTTTTGTCTTAAAAGTGCCAACTCCTACTGGAGTAAATGACCCTGGACACTTGCACATTGCAGCAATGTCTTGGGTTGTGATGGGGAGCTAAAATCCTGCCTAATAATTCCCCTCTGCTGACTGTGCTAAGATTTGCAGCTCAGTACTAATTAAGATTGGTGCTCACTTAAATGTTGAAATGTGCTGTTGCTTGTAGTGCACTGACTATTGTTCAGGATATGGTTCACGACTGTACTATGTGATGAGATGCTGTACAAATGTCACCTTTTATTCTTTCCATATTGCTCCATAGCACCACTTTTTAAATGCATTCTTTATATCCACATTGTCAACTGCATGACCTCATCCTGCCAAGTGTTACCGGGGTGATCTTTATTTGCCACTCCCACCCTGAGTGAAATTCCCAGAGTTTGGCAGAGCTTATACTTGAGCAAAGGCTTCCTCAACTCATTTTGCCTGCAAAAGTCTTTCCATAGCCTTGCTGTTTCCTACTATTGTAATCTATTCCAGTTGACATCGTTCTGTGCCCATGAACATGCCCAATTTTAATCTTTCCACCTTGTGTCTTCAGCTGCTTGTTCTTGAAGCTCTGGAATTTCCTCCTTAAAATTCACGGTCTCTCTATCTCCTTTTAAGCCACTCCTTATCATTTACTTTTTAGGTAAAGCTTTTGAATTTTTTTAAATTCACTTATTGAATTTGAATGGTGTCACTGCCAGCATTTATTTTCTGTTCTTAGTTGCCCACGAGAAGGTGGTAGTGAGCTGCCTTCTTGAACTGCTGCAATCCATGTTGTGTAGGTAGATCCATAATGCCATTAGGGAGACAATTCCAGGATTTTGACCCAATGACAATGAAGGAACAGTGATATATTTTCAAGTCAGGATGGTGAGTAGTTTGGAAGTGAACTTCCAGGTTGTTCCCATGTATCTGCTGCTTTTGACATTCTGGATGATAGCGGTTATAGGTTTGAAAGCTAGTGTCTAAGGATTTTTGGTGAATTTCTGCAGTGCATCTTGCAGATAATACACACTGCTGCTACCAAGCATGGTGGTGGAGGAAGTGGATGTTTGTGGAGGTAGCGCCACTGAAGCTGCTTTGGCCTGAATAGTGTCAAGCTTCTTGAGTGTTGTTGGACCTACACCTGTCCAGGCAAGTGGGGAGCATTCCATTAAACTCCTGACTTATACATTGTAGATGCTGGACAGGTTTTGGGGAGCCAATTACTCACTGCACTATTAGTGTCTGACTTGATGTTGTAGCTACTGTATTTGTATGGCTATTCCAGTTCAGTTTCTGGTCAAAGATAACCCTCAGTGTTGATAAGGGATTCAGTGATGGTAACGCCACTGAATGCCATCGGACACTGGTTAGAATATCTCTTACTGGAGATGATCATTGACTGGTATTGTCAGCCCAAGCCTGGATATTGTCCAGGTATTGGTGCATTTGGACATGGAGTGCTTCAGTCTCTGAAGTTGTGAATGGTGCTGAAAATCGGTAAACATCCCAACTTCTGACCTTCTGATGGGGGAAAGTTATTAATGAAGCAGCTGAAAAGCGTTGAGCTGAGGATACGGTCCTGAGAAACTCTTGCAAGGATGTTGTGGAGCTACAATGACTAACCCCTAACAACCACAACCTTTCTGCTATGTGCCAGGTGTGACTCCAACCAGTGGAGATATTTCCCCATAATTCCCATTGACTACAGTTTTGCCAAGGCTTCTTGATGCCACACTCTATCAAATGCAGCCATGATGTCAAAGGCTGTCACTTTCACCTCATCTCTGGAATTCATCTTTTTCTTTTTGACCATGTTTGAACCAAAGCTAAAATGAAATAAGGAACTGAGTGGCCCTGCTGGAACCCAAACTGGGTGTTGCTGAGCAGGTGACACTGTTGATGACACCTTCCATCACACTCTAATAATGATTGAGAGTAGACTGATGAGGTAATAATTGGCTGGATTGGATTTGTCCTACTTTTTGTGTACAGGACATACTTGGGCAATTTTCCATTATTGTTGGGTAGATGCCAGTGCTGTAACTGGACCTGAATGGTTTGACTAGGGTAGCGAAAAGTTCTGGAGAGGAAGCGTACAATACTATTGCTGGCATGTTGTCAGGACCCATAGCCTTTGTAGTATCCACTGCCTCCAACGATTTCTTGATATCATGTGGAGTGAATCATATTAGCTGAAGATTGTTATCTATAATTAATTTTAGGGACCACTGGAGGAGGCTGAGATGGATCATCCACTCTGTACTTCTGGCTGAAATTGCTGCGAATGCTTCATCCGCCTCCTGTAGTGAGTTGTTTGATTGGGCATTATCACTCAACTGGTTGTGGTGGCATGACAGATCTTAGATCTGATTAATTAATTGTGAGATTGCTTAGCTCTATCTATCAGTTACAGTTTATGCTTTTTGGCAGATAAGTTGTGTTGTGGCTTCATTAGGACATCTCCATTTTTTAGGAGTGTCTGATGCTATTTCTGGCATGCCCTCCTGCACTTTTCATTGAACCAGGGTTAACCTTTTGGTTTGGGGGTAATGGTAGAATGAGAGGGATGTCATGCTGTAAGGTTGCAAATTGTTAGTGTATGATTCTACAACTGCTGACAGCCCATAGCGCCTGAAATCTTGGATTGCTAGATCTGTTCAATATCTGTCCCATTTGGTGCAGTGATAGTGCTGCATATCACTATGGAGAGTGTTCTCGATGTGAAGGTGGGTGTTTGTCTCCACAGGGGCTATGCAGGGGCTTTTTTAACCAATACTTTCATGGACAGAAGCATCCATGGCAGAAAGATTGGTAGAGTGACTCTGATCAATACGGAAAATCCAGATATGACCTCCGCAAAGCCATCAGGGAGGCCCCGAAGCAGTACCGGACCAAGTTAGAGGCCCAGACCTACCAAACAGGCTCCTGTCGTCTATGGCAAGGCCTAAACAACATAAAATGAAACAGCGTAAGATAGCGGACAATGACACATCCCTCCCTGACCCGCTCAATACTTTCTACGAACAAAAACAAGATTGCTGGAAAAACTCAGCAGGTCTGGCAGCATCTCTGAAGGAAAAAACAGAGTTAACGTTTCGGGTCCAGTGACCCTTCCTCGGAACTTTTTTCTTTCTATGCTTGGTTTGAGAATACCCCCGGGGTAGAAACACCTGCCCCGACAGCCCCAAACACACCTGTTCCCTCTGACACCACTTCAGACATTAGATCAGTCTGTCTGGGAGTCAACCCAAGGAAAGCAACAGGCCCAGACAGTGCCCCCGGCCAAGCACTCGGATCCAGTGCGGACCAACCAGCAGAGGTATTCACAGACATCTTCAACCTGTCCCTCCTACAAGCTGAAGTCCCCACCTGCTTCAAGAAGACCACCATCATGCCCATATCCAAGAAAACACCTACAGTGTGCGTTATTGATTATTGCCCAATAGCTCTGACTTGTATAATCATGAAGTGTTACCAGATGCTGGCCATGGCCCACATCAACTCCTGTCTCCCAACCTGACTCGATCACTTACAGTTTGCCTACTGACATAACAGATCCACAGAGGATGCCATATCCCTAGCCCTGCACACATCCCTAGAACATCTGGACAACAAAGACACCTACATCAGACTTCCGCTTGTTGCCTTCAACACCATTAATCCCTCCAGACTGATCTCAAAACTGCATGACTTTGGTATCGGCTCTGCCCTCTGCATTTGGATCCTGTTTTCTGACCCATAGGCTGCAATCAGTGAGGAAAGGTAACTGAACCTCCTCCACAATAACACTCAACACTTAACACTTGAGCCCCCCAGGGATGCATCCTCAGTGCCCCTACTGTACTCCCTGTACTGCTACGACAGTGTTGCCTAATTCTGAACGAACACTATCTACAAGTTCGCTGACAACATTACCATAGTGGGATGAATATCTAACAATGATGAGTCAAAATACAGAAAGGAGATAGAGGGCCTGATGATGTGGTGCAATGAAAACAATCTGTCGTTCGACGTCGACAGAACTAAAGAACTGATCATCAACTTCAGAAAGAAAGGAGGAGAACATGCCCCATCTACATCAACGAAACTGAGTTTGAGCGGGTGAAGAGCACCAAATTACTCGGAGTGATGATAACCAATGGCCTGTCCTGGACTTTCCACACAGATGCAACAGTCAACAAGACACAACAACTCCTCTTCTTCCTCAGGCAGCTCAGGAAATTTGGAATGTCCATAAGGTCCCTCACATCTCCGGCAGATGCACCATTGAAAGCACACTGTCCGGGTGCATAATGGCCTGGTATGGCAACTGCTCTGCCCAGGACAATAAGAAACTACAGAAGATGGTGTGCACAGCCCAGCCTATCACAGAAGCCAACCTTCCATCCATGGGCTCCAGTTACATGGCTCGCTGCCGCAGAAAGGCGACCAACATCATCAAAGACCCACTATTACACCCCGGTATAGACCTCCTATGACCTCTTCCGTCAGGCAGAAAATATAGAAACCTGAACACACGAGCAAGTTCAGGAACAGCCATTATCAGACTGTTGAATGGACTGTAGCCTCAAATAGTGTAACCTGTATGCCTCCAAGTCTTTTTGATCTGTACATCCTTTGCTTGCTGTGATCTGCCTGTACCTCGTAAACATAGGTTTTCACTGTATTTCGGTATATGTGACGAGGCATGGGTTTCAGGGAAATTTGGCTGTCTGGATACAAAACTGACTGTCCAATAGAAGACAGAGGGTGGTAGTAGATGAAAGTTATTCAGCCTGGAGCCTGGTGACCAGTGGTGTTCCACAGGGATCTGTTCTGGGACCTCTGCTCTTTGTGATCTTTATAAATGACTTGGATGAGGAAGTGGAAGGGTGGGTTAGTAAGTTTGCCAATGACACAAAGGTTGGTGGAGTTGTGGACAGAGTGGAGGGCTGTTGTCCCGTTGCAACGGGACATTGACAGGATGCAGACCTGGGCAAAGAAGTGGCAGATGGAATTCACCTAGACAAGTCTGAAGTGATTCATTTTGGAAGATCGAATTTGAATGCAGAATACAGGGTTAATGGCAGGATTCTTGGCAGTGTGGAGGAACAGAGATCTTGGGGTCCATGTCCATAGATCCCTCAAAGTTGCTACCCAATTTGATAGGGTTGTAAAGAAGGCGTACGGTGTGTTGGCTTTCATTGGCAGGGGAATTGAGTTTAAGAGCCGTGACAATAAAATCAATCAATCAATGAGGTGAAGACTATTTTTGTTCCTCACCACCTACTGTCTCTTAGAATTCAACCAGTTAATCAGTAGTGCTGCTGCTGAGCCACTCTTGGTGATGGACATTGAGATCCCCCAACAAAAGTATATTATGTGCCCTTGCTGTCTTGTTCAACACGGAGGAGGACTGCTTCGTCAGCCATGGGAGCGTGGTACAAGGCAAAGAGCAGATGGTTTGCTTTCCTGTATGTGACCTGATTCCATGACTTCATGGTATCCAAAATCAATGTTGAGGACTCCCGAGGCATCTCCCTCCCACCTGTGCAATCACCTCTGCTGGGTTTGTCCTACCAGGAAGTTTGATTCCATGAGTATGACCTCGGGAGGTGATGGCCTCGTGGTATTTTGACTGTTAATCCAGAAACCCAGGTAATGTTCTGGGGATCTGGGTTCAAATTCTGCTATGGCACGTGATGGAATTTGAATTCAACAAAAAATCTGGGATTAAGCGTCTAGTGATGACCACGAACCCATTGTCGATTCTCAGAAAAACCTATCTGGTTCACTAATATCCTTTTAGGGAAAGAAACTGCCATCCTTACCTGGTCTGGCCTATATGTGACTCCAGACCCACAGCTATGTGGTTGATTCTTAACTGCCCTCTGGACAATAAATGCTGGCCCAGCCAGCGATGCCTACATTCTATGAATGAATAAACAAAAAGTATGACTGTCAGGTTGTTGCTTGACTAGTCTGTGAGACAGCTCTCTCAATTTTGGCACAAGCCCCCAGATAATAGTAAGAAAGACTTTGCAGAGTCAGCAGGGCTGTTTTTGCTGTTGTCTGTTCTGGTGCCTGCTTTGAGGCCAGGTGGCCTGTCCATTTTCATTTTTTTTTTCCTTTCTGGCCACTGTAACAACTGAATGGCTTGCAAGACCATTTCAAAGGCAGCTAAGTGTCAACCATATTTCTGTGGGTCTGAAGTCACATGTAGGCCAGACTGGGCAAGGATGGTAGTTTCCTTCCCTAAAAATTTGTGAATTCCCTTAAGTTTTTCCAACAACAGGCAAATCCCAGATTGCAGTTTCTTTCTAATTCAAATGCCACCATCTGCCGAGGATTGAACCTAGGTCCCCAGAACGTTACCTGGGTCTCTGATTAAAAGTCTAGTGATAATACCACTAGATCATCACCTCCCTGTTACCTCCTAATGTACCTCAGTGTCAAATATTGCTTTATGATGCACTTCTGAAGAACTTTTGGGCATTTGATGTTGGGTGTTCAATATTAGAACAAGTAGATATTGGTCATAGAGACATCAGCAAATTCACTTAATGCCCTGATTGATTTTTGCCTGAAGCCAATGAAAGGGCAAAGTGCATAAAAGTATAAAGAGAAGTAACCTTTAATGTAAAACTACAGTAGCCTTGCTCATTATCTTTGTCCTGTTCTCTCCTGCAGCCAGATGTTCATCCAGGGAACTGTTGGGCATTTAAAGGCTCCCAAGGATTTGTTGTCATCCAGCTTGCTGCCCGGATCACACCAACCTCCTTTACTCTTGAGCACATTCCAAAGTCTGTTGCTCTCCATGGATCAATCAGCAGTGCACCGCGTGACTTCTCTGTTTATGTAAGCAAAAGCAGGGTAAAATTTAAGCATATATTCATGATTAACTGCATATGGAACAATGCATTTTGACTGAAGTCCACTGAGCAATGGATTTTTGGATATTAGTTGAAGTATTGAGGGTGATGCTATTTAAAGTCTTATTAATCATATTTTTATTGTTAATGGCTTCAATATATTCTGTTCTGCATCATTAGTCATTAACAAACTGCAGCCTAATTCCTAAAAGGGAGATGGTATTTTTATTGTGCAGATTAGTGTTTGAACATACATTCTGAAAGAAAATAGTCCATATATTGATGTATCACTAGTAGGAATTCAGTTTCTGTTAATTTTGGTAATTACCAGCCTTGCAGAGGGAAGAAACGTGAAGAGGAGTTGAGAAAGAAGATGGGAATCAGAGTTGCAAGGAGATGAGAAAAAGAACTATAAAAGCCATTGAAAAGATGTAGCTATGTTGAAGTGAAGGTGCTTTCAGCAGATAGAAATAAGGGTGAAGAGATGGGGGTGATCAGACTGAGGAGATAGGGAATATGATGGAAGGGGTGATAGCCATAATAGTTTAAATGGGAGAAATAAAGGACAATACAGAGGGTCAAAACACTGATAATGTAAGGGAGCAGGAAGGGCATGACGTGTGAAGGAAAGAGAATATGAAGGGTTAGACAATTAATTGACACAAAGAGACATCATTGTGAATACACATCAGTATCAAATAGGGGAAAAGAATGATCCCAAACCAAGTGGTGATGTGTGAAACTTAACACTAATATCTTTCTTGAGTTTTATTTACAGAATGCAATATGTTTCCTTCCTACCCACTACTCCCTTGTTCTAGCAGTCTCTCTTTATATATTTTTTTAAATCAGTCATAACACATCTCCGACGCAGGTCGACTTGAACGTAGACCTTAAAGCTCAGCAGTCTATCTTGAGTTATTTAATCAACCTGTTCAGACATGTTATGACACACCTCCAGAGTAGGTGGGACTTGACCCCAAACCTTTGGTGGGGCATCATCACTGTGCCATAACAAAACCTTTTCAGCAATGTCTCTAGATACTTTTAATCAACCTGTTCTGATATGTCATTACACACCTGTGGAGCAGATGGGAGTTGAAACTAGATCTCCAATTCCAGAGATGAGCACACTACAATTGTGGCATAAGAACCCTTTCAGTGTGTCTGTATAATATTTTTTAAATAATCAAATAGATCAACAATGGAATCAAATCAAAACAAATTAATCTAATGTAACAGGTGTCAGCACAGGTCTGATAAATTGTATTTCCCATACAATAATAAAACTGATAGTTGTCAGCATGTTTCCTTCGCCCAACCTAGGTAGTGTCTCCCACCCATCCTCCTCCTCTAACCAAAAAAAAAGGTTCTGAGCGCTGATTTGGTAAGGCTACTAGTATATATTTTTTCTTAATTTGTCTGTTTGAGAATTCAGAACAGTGGGAATGGATGTTAGGGCAGTTGTATGCTCCTCCTGTAGAATGTGGGAGGTAAGGGTCACCACTAGTGTCCCCACTGACTTCATCTGCGGGAAGTGCACCCAACTCCAGCTCCTCGGAAACCGTGTTAGGGAACTGGAGCTGGAGCTGGATGAACTTCGGATCGTTCGGGAGGCTGAGGGGGTAATTGAGAGGAGTTACGGGGAGGTAGTCACACCTCAGGTACAGGAAAAAAGTAGATGGGTTACAGTCAGGGGACGGAAAAGGAACAGGCAGACAGTGGAGGGATCCCCTGTGGCCATTCCCCTCAAAAACAAGTATACCGTTTTGGATACTGTTGGGGGGGATGACTTACCAGGGGTAAGCCATGGGGTACAGATCTCTGGCACAGTCTGTCCCTGTTGCTCAGAAGGGAAGGGGGGAGAGAAGGAGAGCATTAGTCATTGGGGACTCCATAGTTAGGGGGACAGATAGGAGATTCTGTGGGAACGAGAGAGACTCGCGGTTGGTGTGTTGCCTCCCAGGTGCCAGGGTCCGTGATGTCTCGGATCGTGTTTTCGGGATCCTTAAGGGGGAGGGGGAGCAGCCCCAAGTCGTGGTCCACGTAGGCACCAACGACATAGGGAGGAAAAGGGATGGGGACGTAAGGCAGAAATTCAAGGAGCTAGGATGGAAGCTTAGAGCTAGAACAAACAGAGTTGTTATCTCTGGTTTGTTACCCGTGCCACGTGCTAGCGAGGCGAGGAATAGGGAGAGAGAGCAGTTGAACACGTGGCTACAGGGATGGTGCAGGAGGGAGGGATTCAGATACCTGGATAATTGGGGCTCATTCTGGGGTAGGTGGGACCTCTACAAACGGGATGGTCTACACCTGAACCAGAGGGGTACCAATATCCTGGGGGGGAAATTTGCGAATGCTCTTCGGGAGGGTTTAAACTAATTCAACAGGGGGGGTGGGAACCTGAATTGTAGCTCCAGTGTACAGGAGGTTGAGAGTAGTGAGGTCATAAATAAGGTTTCAAGGTTGCAGGAGTGTACCGGCAGGCAGGAAGGTGGTTTGAAGTGTGTCTACTTCAACGCCAGGAGCATCCGGAATAAGGTGGGTGAACTTGCAGCATGGGTTGGTACCTGGGACTTCGATGTTGTGGCCATTTCGGAGACATGGATAGAGCAGGG